TATTCCCAATGTTTCGGATGCAGCCCAATAGGCATCCGTAAAAATAACTTAAACGGTTATTAACAATGACATCTAGTTGAACGCACTCGGATTTAGTCGTTGGTCAGGTGATTTTGATAGGTTAACCGGACGTACCAACCGTGTCATCGTTAGAAGAGGCATCATCAGTTGACGTCCGGTATGTATTTCGTCCTATCCAACCATATACTAACAATATTACGTAGTAAGGTAACGAGCCGTTTGCAAGCCAACTGCCATTCTCGACCAACCGTTCAACCGCTATATATGCGATTACCAACGAAGGCCACGGCTTTATAGGACCATTGAGTAGTACCACAGTCGTAGGTGGGGATTATAAAGGCACACCAAAAAGCGAATGCATTGGCGTGTTGAAACATCTGGTACTGCATTGAATAAATAAAAGGAGAGCTGGAATTCCACCTAATCAATGTACTTCGTGTTGAACATTTATTCGAATTTAAGAAAGCGTTCATTTCCCTCCATATCTCTCACCTACCAGACAATAGCATATACAGTTAGGCTGCAGACGTTTTGCTGAGGAATCCTCACCCAGGAAGGACCTGAAAGGGTAAACTAGCTGTGTAGCATTCATTTCGGTTTCAGAGACCAATACTTCTACTAATTCGGTGCTTTTTGGCTGGCTGTTGTTGTTCGAATTCAAGGCAATCAAAGAAGCAGTCTACACTCACCACACAGTCAATGCCTGCTCTGCTTGGTCCTTCTATTGCGATAGCTAACGTTCCGGCACCCGCCTCCCGCGTGTAGATTGTGAATTCATTAATGGCATTTGTGAAGCCTCGTTGTAGATTAGGACCAGTTGCGCGCACTTTATGAGCCACACCATCAGTAATAGGTCCAACAGTAAATTGGAAAGGGCTACCTGGAAATTGTAAGTCGAAGAAAGTATATTCTTCAGATAGAAATTCTATTCTAAGATGACTTAGCAAAGTAGTGACCAATAAGGACCAGTATTACCTTAAAATTTACATAAGCTTTTTCGACCAAAATTTCCATTATTGGAAAGTTGGTGGCAGTTTGCCTGCCAAGACAAAACTATCGTGCCCGAGACCAAACTAGTTGACGTACAGAGCTGCTGCTGACACAAACTATATAGCAAATCTCAAAATGAGCATATAACTGGTGGAGGAAGATGCCGACTAATTAAATGATGGAGAAAAACTCTCATTAATAGAAGTTCCTTCCGCGGGATCAAAATGCGCAGTCCAATATTTCCAGTGTAGAACCTCTGTCTCACTTACTTGCAGGTTAAGTCACATGCTTTATCCAGTGGAAACTAGAGGCCACAAAATCACTTGGTGATGACTTTTTGTCGCCTAGAAATGAGGTCAGCCCAGTGCTTTTAAACGTTTTGAATCGGTCACTCCTTTCCGCAGGAAGCTATTGTACAACATATCATTTGTTTCCAAGTAGAATCAATAGACGCGAATAAAGGTATCGATTAATTGTGGACAGATGTGTATGAAAATGGCACCAGTAAGCTCACATCAGAATAACTCACCGGCAATATTGATTCCTCTATGTTTCACGCTGACCAAATGTTCTCCCATTTCCTGTGGAACGAATTTGATGTTGTAATGATCGGCGTCCACCTGAACTATCTCACATGGATAGGTGTCTCCTGAAGGAGCGGTGACCGATGCAGTCATGTCCCGTAAAGTTGTGTCTGTGTGACCACAAAGGGAATTGAAAATACTTGGTGATGCAAGCGATGCATAAAACAGTTAACACACAAACGTCAACTAGATGAAAGGGAATGAAAGTGAAACCAAACCACCTGGAATTCATTATTTATCCTTTAAAAGTAGCTTAGATATCAATTACCTGATGATACACCGCCTAACCGAGAGGCCTTTCTATTGGTTACAGGGAAGCCGATGGGGAACATAGTAAGGGTATGGTTTTCGAAAAGACAGCAAACCACTTACTACGGCCATTATTAACAGCAACGCCAGCGATGAAATTACTATTTTACTGCCGGTCTTCGTGATTGAGTGGCGTGGGGCAAAAGAGACCATGCGCTCATGTCACTTGCTTCACGACGTGAGACAGCCCCAAGGAAATATATATTGATGTAACCACATTACAGATCGCTGCCTCGAAAGTTACTTTTAAAGGAAGATGAATCACATCAGCGTGATTCTACACCCAAGGTTATGCTAGGACATTTACCAATGCTATGTTTACTCGAGTGCAACACGCAAAACTAACCTTGCCTCCAAGTCACATGAAGATTCTTCATTATTAAAATATGCTTATTGAAGTCGGACGAAAATCAATTCGCCACGAACATCTCGGATACGTGGCTCTGTCACTAATATATGTGACACGTGAGAAACTAGGATGGAATTTGTCGGCAGGTTCATATATACGTCTTCATAGGACTTAAGGACCAATCCCCGACTGACCAGTGCGCGCTTGAGATGTCGCTGAAATCTAGTAAGGTATGAACGCGGCTGACGACTGACAGTCCTGTTCGAAGCAGGACATTTACAACAAATTCCTCTAGGGTAATATGAGGCAAACGAACTCGGGGAGCACTAGCAATTAAGATCGCAGCCTTCGGAAGAATTCTAGTCACCAGAATAAGGAACCACGAGAAAAAGAAGACTCATATACATACGTCTTCATTTTGAGTTGGACGAATCATGAAAACTACAAACAGTTGTGCGAGAGTTATATCTTGTCTGAGTAGCGTGTGAAGTATTGTCGGCTCTAGTGCTATCTAAAGTGTAATACCTTATGTATTGTGCGATGAACAGTTGTTGGTGTTGTTGGATAAAACATGGGCGTGAATGTCTGTCCCTCCTAAGAACAACCGCAGTTTTAATGTTTAGGTTATTTTATCTTCGTTGTATGCAGTTGTATGTATAAAGTTCGTCAAGTTACTTCAGATGTTACAGGGCAAGCTGCTTTGTGCTGTTTTCACTGCTCTGACTTCACACCTGTCATGATATTGCATAGTAGCGTACTATATCCTTGTCAAGAGAAAGAAATTCATGCAGTATTGGGATTTCTGTACTGTGCGCCTCTTCGAGGCAACAAACCTATCAGCTAGTTGATTGAATGAAAATGACAATACCATAATTCAGGGGCATGGGCCGGTATTCGTCAGTTGAGTGTCCCGCCAAATCGCAGGTGTTGTCTCTACACTGTTGTGGTACTGATGAACACCGTACTACTAAGCAGACAAATATACATAAGCAGAATGTGTTGGTAGCAAACAATTGCATTCCTCGATTAAAGCGATGGAGAGGGTGAATAAAGAACCTCAGCAGGCTCCCGTAATCTGCAGCTCTTTTTTGTCGTTTTCTGGCAATTTCCATCTGTATAGTTTTATTACAGCTAATCGTTCTATCACCTCGGGGTGCTGTTAAATACTCAGACTTTTTCGTGCCTTTCAACAAGATGTGTTACTGATCCCTCACTCTATTTAACACAAACATCGAAAAATGATGCATAAAATGGACAGTTAAGTAATTCGGTTCGGATTCGTCATTACCACTCCCGCGTTTCTTCTCACTGTTTGTATTTGTCCACTTGGGAACGGGGGAGCAGTCTGACGTAGAATCGAGCGTAGGCGGACGGGACAGGACTTCAGTCGTCTGTTCATTTGGTTACGAGATACGTGACCAAATGAGTCATAGTTCAGGAGGTCGCGAGCATTATAAAGATCCCTATGTCATTTTAATTCCTTAGTAGGGGGTAATTGGAAAATACCCTCTGGAGTGCAAAAACTGACAAAGGTTATCCTGAAGAAAGTTACTGAGAATGTATAAAATGTTTAAAAACTAGTATGTTTCCATGTCCGGTTTGAGAGAACAGCAGCGACCGCAAGGTATCTGTTCCGCCCAAGGGGAAACGCCCCGTTAATAATACATTCTAATCCTCCCAAAGGTGTTTCCTCGTCACGGAATATGTGTGAGAAAACTAATCATCGTGACCGAAGGACTGTATAGGAGTATGTCACGCAAAACAACGCTACATCCACACTTATTAGGAAGCAGTGTTGACAGCGGTGAGGTAAATTTTTCTAAACCAATGAGCAAGACATGTCGCTGTTTCTGTTTCAAAAAGTACCAGGGACTTCCAACGGTGTCTTATTTGAATTTATTAAGATACATTCAACAACACTTGAAAGTTGAACAAAATGGATTTTAGTGGAAGTGTGGTCACAATTATTCCTGTGACAATCATGGTTCAAGAAGACCGAAATGATAATGCATACGGTCAAATTGTTTAGACGTATATTGTGCTATCATAAGAATAAGCGAGACTACCCACTGGTGAGCGAAAGTTGACAGTGTAAAAATGCGTTCAGAATGCTTATGCGTAATGATAGAGAACAGAACACTCATTACCCTAAATCACGAAAATAAAGACTTGAAAAGCTTTAGGAGCCCCATACGAAACCGAAATAGCCCGGATAAGGATCACTTACCAGCAACTCGCAAACTAAGTTCGCAACGGCTTCCAACGGTAGTCACAGTTGAGGCTTCGCGACGTCTGGTTATACGCTCTGTTACGCGAGACAGAGATTTCCCACCAACATCCACAGTGAAAGGACTGTTGGGGACATGCACGTCGGCATATTTCACGTTGATAATATACATGCCCGGTTCAGTTGGCAGGTACATGACTGAGCAGGTGCCGTCATGATTGTCTTGACAGTCTATCTCCGCTTTGCTTGGCCCTTCAATAGAAAGGCTCAAACCTGCGTAACCTTAACCGTCAGTAGAAAAAAAGCAGGAGAGTAAGTTTAGTAAACCGGATAAATAGTGCTGGAAAGCCTTTGAATCGATCGTTTTTAAAAGGTACACTTACCCGCGTCCCTGGTGTCAACAGTGAAATGGTTAGGTTGATTTGCTACGCCAGATATCAGCCCAGGACCAGTGACACGCACACGCCTCGGGTCACCGATTTCTTTCTCTGATATTCGAATACGGAATGGACTGTTCGTTATGTGCTCTCCTGCCTGATATACGCTGATCAAATGCTCACCAATTTCCCTCGGTGTAAATGATATCCCTATCAAAATGGAACAAACCAAAAAGAAACATTATCTTGGAAATTGATATGAGCAACAGTACAGCTTCATTTCATTTCCATCACTATTTACTGAGTGCAGTGCGTTGTTTACGAGTTTAGCAGATTAGGTATTTTCATTAAATTATTCAGTCCTAACAACATAAGGGCTGAGGCGAATGTCGTCCAAACATGTCCTGACGCTTGATGGAATGTCGCTAATGGAGATCTGAGCCAAGACAGTTCGCGGGCAAAACTCCACGATTAAGTTGAAGTGACAAAAGGACAGAAGTTACTTTTCTATTCTGACCTTACAATGAAGCTTTTAATCGACACATTGGGTGCAAAATTTATCTTAGGATGTTGAATGCCAATTACGGGTCTTTGAAATATGGAAAGTTGGTTACAATTAAAGGAACAGCCCTACTTACAAGTAACCACTTACAGGGTGTAGCTCAAATTTGTTGAATGATACAGGTACCGAAAATAGGGTGAAAGGCGTCCATACCACAAAATGCAGATTTCCTCTGATTTACTTTTGCACAACACCTGCCACATACGGCAAAATAGTGTCGTGCAACCACGCCATTCAAATCGACGCAAAACCCCGATAAATGAAGGATAATTTAGGCTTCTCAACTTACGAAATCAATGCTCATAAACGTCATAGTAGGCATCGCTGCAAAGATTGTCATGTTCAACAGACAACGATAAAATTAATAAGGGGTACCACTAATACCCCAAGGTCATAAACGCATTCAGACACAACCTTTCATTCCAGAGAAAGCACCACTTTGGCATTTGGACAAGTGTAGAGCCAGTAATTAACTTACATTTGCGCACAAGTCAGCTGGAGGATGGTCATGCACCAGCAAAATAATACTACGGTGAAGCAGTCACAACATTGGCTGCCATAGGTCTAGATGATGGAGGTGTTTGTGTACAAACTAATGAAAAAATCTGTAACTGCTCATGTGTGAGCCTAAAGTTAAGTTGGTTACAAGAATACTGCAGTTATGAGTGGAATATTACTAGCATTCTGTGAATCAAACGTAACAGATGAGGTTATTTGTTGTCCACCAAATATTCTGTCGTTGAAATAAGTCAGTGACGCGGATACCTCTACCTTATTGGAAGCTGCCGTTGACTTACGACTTCAGCTGGAGGCAACTTATTGTCGATAGAAAGAAACCTACCGAGTCGGTTGTTCGGCAGTCTTTTGAGTACACAGGGCTCCTCACGACCCGAAACAGACTGTACGTTGGCAGTTAGCGTTGAGATATCGTCGCCAAATGCTTCCAACGCTATATCGCTGGTGGCGCCCAAATTCAGCTGCGCACGAGTGTAGGTGTCACCTGAAAACGGGAAGTCAATGCTGAATCGTCTAGTTACTGAACAAGGCTCGTATAGCAGACGGACAGGATTGTAAAAATTGTCTGTCGTTTGAAAAAAAACCCACACTTGTATAGCCGACCACGATATGGGTGCAAGCAAGCACAAACCCAAAAAGGCAAAGTCCAAACCATAGCAATTAGATTTTAATTTAGATGGGTTGGAGTGATCTTTAATTTAACGTTGGGGAGAAATTCAGATAGAAAAGTACATCAACAAAAGTCGAGAGAAGGCTACATATCTACAGCCGTCTTAGAGTGTCAAATAACCTTACGGGAAGCGTAGGTTCTTTCATCTCCCATTCAAGAACCACGCTACAATGAAATCTGCCACACCAATCGGTAAACACACAGATCAAATCTGATAGCGTATGACCCATATACAAAATTATATGATTTGGAGGTACTCGCTCACACGCGCGTACACCCCCTACTACCTGCTCCGTACCACCTTTCGTAAGTTTACTTGGCAGCTCTTTCTAGATCGTCACGCTGTGAGTTTACAGAATACCCAAAGATTTGCAAGCAGAGCACAAGCCAACTGTGTAACAAGCCTAAAACCTCCAGTGAATCCGACAAAGTTGGAAAGTTGATAACACGTCCGCACAACACAGTTCATCTATGAAGGTTCCCGAAAGTTCCGAAGAGGCAAAACTCTACCCCGTTTTACAGTGTGCATATTTAGAAGACGAACATCCTGGAAGAGTAATCAGCAACACAGACTATGAAATGAAGTATGTAGATTCGGACAAATTTTCGAGTCCATGAATGATAATTTAGCACGGTTGGAACCTAAGGACTGTAAACAGAAAACTCGTAAACAGATGGAGAATATACGATGAAGCCACATTATGGTAAGTGCAATGACAGCGCAAGTGAAAAATACAAGTAGCGCAACACGAAAACCGCTCGCCTGCATGAGCTTACACCAGCTATCACAGTAAGTGCAAAACAGAAACGCAGTCCAACATTAACCTACCTCTCAAGTTCAAGATCAAGCGTTCATCTGTGTGCATTCAAACAGGCATGCAGAATAGTAGCTGATCTGTATGGGATGATACCAAGGGGAACGAAGGTGGACAGAACAAGTGTCACTGAACTCACCAATTATCTTTGCCGGGAACGGTGATCCTGAAATATGCTGATCCTTGAATTTGATGGCAACCTGGTAGTCACCGGGAGCTGATGGATAATATCTAACAGTGCACGTTCCGTCATCATGTTCGTCACATTTGATTTCGGCTTTCGAAGGTCCTTCAACGGATAGCGATAGACCACCTATTTTGGAAGATATACGAACTAGGGTCATTTTTGTCGATTTACGGAGAATCCACTTACTGACACATTAACCGGGTGATTGAAAAAACACTAGTTCTACTTCAAGATAAAACAAGAAACTGGTTTTTAGCGGCTCAGATACGTAGAAGAAGCGACAGGAATTAAAGGTAAGTGCGCTGGAATAGTTCAACCATGATTCATCATCAATCGGGAAGCAAACGTGATGGGGGGTAATTACATTTACTGCGACCGAACTCGAGTCTTCTATATTTAAAACGAGGAGTTATTGATTACGCTCACTGTGTCCAACAAAGGAGGGACAAGAAGGAAAAAGCGTGACCGGCTAAACGCACTGGATGCAAGTGCGTTGGTTAGCCGCTATTGTATTTCTCTTCTTTACATTGGTTAGCTTTTGGTTCGAAGTTGAGTACGTTTCACGGCTAGCGTTTCGAAATACCAGTGAACATCCGTACAAAGTGAAACCTGGCTTACATCATACTTGAAAGAAACGAGAACCTGAGACATTAAAAAGTCGAAATTTTGGAAACGTTTTATCTAGGAAAGGATTTTCGATATAAAAAACATGAGGCTAGAGACTAGTCCACACATGGATAAAGCGAATTGGGTCACAGGAACTGATGCTCTAAAAGACGAGATTTTGTCTTGATTTAGTTTTATAGAGCAGACTGAATAAACAGACACATAAATTACAGTTTGGGCACGATATCAACTCAATAGTTATCTAGAAGCGCAAATAAATTTGAACAAACCTCCTCCAGCATCCTTTGTATTGATTGTAAACTCTGCTGGTTGGTTGGTTACTCCGTGACTCAAACCAGGTCCGTAGGCAGTGACGTGACCGGTAGTCACGAAATCCACGAAAAAACGATACGGGCTGCCTTGCAATGGCATAGCCACAGTGCTACTCCTGATGTCGCCCGGCTTCGCACGAGTGATGCCATTCACATGAAGCTCATGCATGCCCTGTTCAACAGGATCATACATTATCGTTATTGTATCGTCCGGGTTAATGGTTGGTGTAACATGTTGGTGCGTCCCAGACGGTCGAACAACCATGCCTGTGAAAAGACAATCGAAATTTCCGGTAACGGGAACAAACAAGATGTGTAATTCGGTGAGAAACAACAATAGGCGCAGGTTTTACGATGATAGATTTTGCCAAACTAGTAAAGCGATCACGTGTCATAATAGAGATTCTTTCACTAAAAATAACGTCGCTGCCCAACATGGGGTCACAAACGATCCAAACTTGTAGATTTTCTTGTACTGAAATTCGGTTTCGTTTTTTACGGTAACATAGACTGCATCTACATCGCACACTACAAAACCCAGCATGCGCATGTCAACCAAAATCTACATTGCGGATAAAAAGGCAGAATTGGCAGCCTAACACCACAAACTGAATATCGAATGACGATTGAGTGCGCATTCGAGTGCTTTGTGAGCGATGGAATGTAGGAATCCCCATTTGTGATTCCGACGTTTAGGATGAGTCTTTTCTGAAAACCCGATCACCTTACAGCTGTTTCATCCTTATTGGTATTTCTCATTTTTGGAACTTTGCAAAGGCTACCTTTCAGGTGAATCGAACCTATGTTACGTAATACCATATCTATTTTTCAGGAAACACATATATCCGAGCTGCTGTTAGTGAGTCATTCTGCATCACGAACGGGTGCCACTGATTAGGTGGTCAAGGCTTACCTCGTTCACCTTCGTTCGATGTACCGTCCTCTGATTCGCGAGGCATGGACTTACGGTTACTCTTAAACAGAGTGAAATTTTTTTACGCTCCAGCTTCAGAGAATCGGCTGACGAAGAAATCTCACGGTTCATGCGACAGTTGTCAGACTCAAAGCTGTCAGCTTTTGAATAAAAAAAATATGGCTGTCACAAAGTTCCTGGATTGATTCATATTCCTCTTAACTACTTCGACAAAAAATTAACCTCCATGACATACAAGCAGTGAAGTTAAACACGCCAGACAAGTCACAGTTTTTTGAAAGGCAACACGCACAATTAATGACACACAGGGTACGTACCACTAAAGAGCCGACAGTGAATTGAGAAAAACAGAAATCACGAATAAAGGGAATCACTTAAATTCAATCCCCATCAGACAGCAGGATCCACGAAATAACTTACATTCCACATCCGCGTCACCCCGGGGGGCTGGTAGTCTGAATTCCACTGAACGAAATTGTGAGGTAGCTTTCTGCAAAGTTGCAGAAGAAATTATGTGCGGATACAGTGTCTCATTCTACAGGCTAGCTTCACATAAAAAATGGAAAGGAACAGAGGCATACCCGACTGGACGTGCCGAATTAGAATTCGATGCACTTTTGTGAGTCACCAGTATGGATAACGAAAACAAGCATGTAGAAAGTCGTGTATCAGGTGACATAAACATTTACTCAAATAATGAAGGACAGTAACATCAGTAGCCATAAACCGCGTACGGTGGTCCTAGAGACCACAGATATGCGCATCAATGACGAGTTGAATCATGAAATAGTGATAGCAGGCCTAGTCAGATGTCAGTAAGCTCAACTGAAAAACTAAATGCATGGAGCAAAGGGCCATTTCCTTCCCAAACCTTCCAACTTATCGAGTTTGAAACCTCTGAGGGGGAGGGAGGGAGCGGCATGCATCAATACCCATTTGAAAATACCATTTAGACCAAAAGGAGAAAAGGGACAAGAAAAGAAACAGAACGGTAGTCCATCGCATTCTAGAGAATAAATCTCCAAGTAATTGAGAAGAAAGACACGTTGCCACATAGGACAATAGTGCTGACAGAGAGCAGAGGGAATGAAGCTTTTTATATCGAAGCTAGAGTAATGCTTTCCTCACAGAAAGAGCACAGCAGAATAAGCGGACTTCAACACTGCAAAGTTCCGCCGCTAAACAGGTATCTCAAACCACCAGTGTCTCCGAAAATGCAGTGGATATACAACCGGTAAGAGTTCTGCCATCGACCTAAGCCCTCGTCTCATGAAAATATCATGTTTCAATAACCGCGAGGTAGCGCGAAGCTGGGAAAATCCCCGGCCTGAGTTCATTACATCTCGTTGTGTCAATTGTATTTTTACTTCAGTTTCTGGAAGAGTGAGGCAAACACGAGAAAATTCGCAGTTCGTTTTTCGTGCTATACAAATGACAAACTATCTTTTCAAAAAACTTTTATATAAAGTAGTTCTGTAAATATCAGCCTCTGACTACAAATATGTCACTAAACGTCGGAGCTTGAAAAATTAGAAGTTGGTATTTTTCGTACATATGAGGATATTCCCGAAAGTCGAGACAAGTAGTAGGGTGAAACGTAGCTGCGCTGATAAGAATCCACCATAAAAAACTTTCGAAGAGACATTTGTAACTGAGTGTCGCACGAACAGTAGCAGGCTGGGAATGCTTAATTTCCCAAGACACGGTAATAAAAGCCCGTAAGGAATCGCAAAACAAGGTTTATTAGACTCAACTTCTACAGGCCTGGAAATGCTGACTAATCATTTGGCTAGTTCAGAATAAGTAGTATTGGACAAATTGGTGGACGTTTTTATAGATCTTAGGTAGCACATGTAGCCGGAGTATATGGTGAACAAAAAGATGATAAGTTAGCCCACGGACAAACCAAAACACATTAGTTGTTTTCTGCAAGAAACTTTGATGGGCCGGACAGGAAGTCGTAGATTTCCTATAAAGAGTGACAGCGCTGGACCTCTCATCCGGTCTTAATATTGCAGCTTTTATATTAGTTCCTTAGGTCCGGCAGGGCTTTTCGTGTTATCACTCGTAGGGTACGCCACAAACGATAGCGCAGTTATATCAGTTTACTTTTTAACCGATCCTCTTTCTCAGGAGACGTCAGTGATAAAAAAAGCTCCATTACAGTCTCCGCATTTCCCCGGTGGTAGATTTTAGGCGGTGGTATTTTAGGAAGACTCGACGGGTTCACAACAAGTCCCTGTAAAACTAAAGACAAGACAGGTTGGCTTTTTTACAGTCTACGAAGTTTGTAGAGCCATCTTTTGCGGGTACGTTCGACTGCACGCACTGCTGTCCATGTTTGCAAATTTGAAATGGTGCACATGAATAAGCTGACAGAAATCTACTTTAGCGAACGTGTAATCTGTTAGGAACTGTAGTTCCGTGAAATACATGCTCCAGAATGCCGCTTTTTTAATCCACTCATCAAGAAATTATGAAGGGGGTAGGTTGTACATTCGGTAATAGCTATTTGATAAAACAAATATTCAAGACAAAAATCCTGAAATGTGAATTTTGCTTTGAAAGATCATATTGGATTTCCGAGCTTTCAACATGCTGTGTTCAAGGTAGTTTAAGTAGCTTCACACATATGTTCTCGGCATGTCTTATCAGTATTTTAGTCAACGGTCCGTTAAGCTTCATCAGATGTAGTGAGTCAGTTGATTTCGATGTACTCTAAACGACGTCAAAACGTCGAAGGCGACGACAGATCATCATCAACCTCACCCTCATCACATTCGGTTTACAGAACAAGACCGAGCTGATCAATAATATACTATAGAGGTTCGCTAAAGCACAGGCGAAAGCTGCGGCATTAGGCTAAGTTCACTCATTTCTGTGTGACTAGATTGCTTGTATTTTCATTGTGCACAACACAAGTTAGGTGACCTTGCCCAGTTGCGCTATTGGTTGTCGCGACATTTTGGTCGCTTGATGAACCAAGCATTGACGGTTTTACATAAGCGCAGCTCCAGTCCAGTGGTCGGTGCACCAGCCATTTAGCAGTATAGCAACCAGCCAGGCCGTTTGGCTCTATAGTGTCACACAGCAAAAACTCTGGAAGCAAGGGCAGGTGACTCAAGGGGCTTGATGGGAGAATAGGTCTCTGATTGCTGGGTTATAGCAGAGCATGATGGGAAAATGGACCAACCAGCTTGAGAAACCTGATACTAAGTTGGTCCACAATTGCCTCTGAGTCTGTTGCGCGCGCTGGCACACGGTTGCTAAGATTATAGATGAACATAGAGCCCAAGCTATGAGAAAAAGTGAATAGATTGGATTTACGGGAGTTTTGATTGGTGATGGCTTGAGACCGGATAGAAAATGAGTATAACTTGAGGTAACAGTGCTTCGTAAATGTCAACACAAACATGGACGACCAGTCTTATTGAATTTTGTGGAGGAAAATTCCAGAGAACAAGCAATGTTAATGCAAGGAAATGTGAGAATAATGAAGAGGAAAACAAACAGTTAGTGGGAGTCCAGTCTGGTGACAAGCATCAGGTACGAAAACACAATGAAGCTTGCTAATCAGCGCAGCCAATGTCTGATATCTTACAAATCCTATCAAATACACAGGGGAATCTGTTTACTAATGAGGAAGATGGCAGCGGTTTCTGGATCCTTAGCTTTGACTCGCCCCATCATTCCATCTAGGATGGCGAGGGGAATGGGCCTTCGTGGACTTGTATGGATAGCTTGTATGGTAATAGCTCCCGTGGACTGGTTATGCAAAAGATTAGACTGAAGTGGTGGGATAAAAATAGCTAGAGGCGGGCAAGCCTTCAGATGATGTTCACGTAGACGCTAATGAAACAGTCACGATCAGACTGAAGAATTGTATTGTGAACATGATAAAAACAATGGGAACTCGATATAAAGTCAAGTGAATTCGAGTTCAAATCAGTTCAACCTTCCGGAAGTGCGCCTTGGACGAGTGTTCGTTGGTTTGGGTATTTGACGCATTTGGGCGAAGGATCATGACGATTACTTTATCCGACTATTTAGCATCCTTCTGGGTCAACAGAGGTAACATCTTTCCCAACTTCGGCTCTAATAAAAGGCCCCATGTTTTATGCAAGATTTGATCACCGTGTATTATTCTGAGCAGCAAAATGAGTGCAAGACGAGTTCACTCGCCCTCCCTCGCTAAGACTAAATATTCAGGCCACGACCTCAGTGGCTAAAAACATGAAGGTCGATGGCACCAAACAAGACTCTTAGGTCACGCTTGGTCCGTTAACGAAACTCGGACGAATAGCTGCTCAGTGAACAAAAATTTCCCGGCCGTACTTCCCCTAATTGGACGGTGCTGGTATATTGGGTGCACCGTGCTCTGAGCGAGAGTATTTTTTTAATTTTATTTGATCAGCGCCTGTTTTCTCGTTGCAATTTGTAGCCTTGTGTTCAGGGCACAATGTGTACTTGAAAACGGCAAACGCAAGACGACTAGGGAAATCATATTAACGTGGGTGAATGTCTTAACATTTTCCCGTGTAAAATAATCCCCAAAGATGGGAGGTGAAAGCGTTTGAGGCACGTAAAAGGTTTTCAAATAACTTAATTTAAAGACAAATTCGGACGCTTAAACTGATTTCACGAAAATCATACAACCACTAGCGCAGATCACTCCAACAACTGAGTTTTTACAATAAAGAAAGTCCACTTTTTCGGCCCTGTTCTATAAAGAGCGGAGATGGTGAGTCTTATTCTATCACAGTGTCTCCTACAACAGAGTGCGCCTACGACAACTTGATGGATCACCTAAAGCCTTCAAAACGTCAGCTCCGGTTTGTACTGCTTTCAGCTGCACGTTAGCGCACTGTATTATAATTTTTTCAAAAGGATACAACCACTAGCGCAGATCACTCCAACAACTGAGTTTTTACAATAAAGAAAGTCCACTTTTTCGGCCCTGTTCTATAAAGAGCGGAGATGGTGAGTCTTATTCTATCACAGTGTCTCCTACAACAGAGTGCGCCTACGACAACTTGATGGATCACCTAAAGCCTTCAAAACGTCAGCTCCGGTTTGTACTGCTTTCAGCTGCACGTTAGCGCACTGTATTATAATTTTTTTTTTCAAAAGGCCAGGGCACAGCGTGGGCAGTGCAACCTTACTGTGGTCTAAACGTGGCGGGTGTCGATGCCGATCTATCGCTGACGTCAGTGCACGACTGAGATCCCGAGTGCATTGAAATAATTTAACGCATGGCGACGCAGCGTAATTAGACGGGAAATAAGTAAATACGTTGGGACACGAGTGAATTACTTCGAGCAAAGCATTGTTTTCTGTGTGTGGAGTTGACAAAGTGCATCTATTTTGTTACATCCAATCGAGAGCATACGCTGTGTACTACCGGGAGACGATGTGGTGTTCAGTACCTCATTGACAAGCACGCCGATTATAAAGCACACATGTCCAAAAAATCCACTGATTGTTATCCAAATGTTTCTATAACTAGAACGTATCTAAGGGTCCGCATATCAGGTTAACAAACCTGATTAAGAGGCCTATTGGAAGAAAAAAATATGCAGCAAACCAATGAAAAATGTCGTTTGATCATGATCGCTTCCAAGTTGCCCACAGATATGATCCCACGCAGGAATACCAGCACCTTTGTGAGGAGAGCCGTGAAAACCAAGCAGAGTTCCGTTCGGGTCGTGGCTGCATTTACCATATCTCTACCTCACGACAACTGCTGGAGCATCGTCACACAGAAAAACAATAATTGTTGTTCTCATGTCTGAACGTAATGTCCGGCTCGGTCGCGCTGCTTTGTGGGGATGTCTATCTTTCAATGGTGTGCCACGCATTTTCTTCACAGTCCTCCAACCATCATACTATATACCTGCGGGCGCGTTAAGGTCTGCTGGGAATACTCTCCCAACATGACCAAAAGTGGTGCCCTTCAGGCTTACTGTTTGTCACCTTTTCTCCATAACCTAATAGTGGATTAATTAAGTGAGAAACTTTTGTTGTCTTTCACCCTAATTTTGGACCTTCTTTCCTGGGAAGCCCTTAAATTCATTGAATATTTGGCCAATGTTGCGCTACTTCTTTCAGTTTCCATTCAGATAAGAAACACACCAAATAACCTAAGTGATGTTACCATGCGTTTCGAATTGCGTCTCTCACCCTCAAAGTACGAAGTGCTATTATACGACTGGGCGAGCGCGCCACTAAAACAGGCTATGGTGTCAGAACCAAGTTACTGTCTGATTTCGTTTCCCCATCCTGCTGCATTCGGGGATTAAGGCGACCCGGTCGATGGCATGATTTCTTCTTCCAGGATGGGGACCGCGTGATCCTCGCTGTGCCTGGTTGGAGACACTACAAGATATGGCTGGCACCCGATGTCAGTGGCGTTCTTGTTGTCAGTTTCTGTCCAGATTGCCTGAGTGAATTTCTGGAGGTGTAGGCACCTCGGAATGATTGTGTTAAGCTAGCACTAAGTCCCTCCCCCATCCACCTTTATTCTTTTCTTTACAATAAGGCTTTCAAATAAGTCATGGCTGTACGGCAGTGAAGCATTGGTGTTGAGCACTGATGTCATGCTGTCATGCTTCAACAATCAAATCTGGGTTTGTGTGATTTTTAAAAAACGTATTCCAACGCTGAATTTTAGTGGTGAAGGAGCAGTTCGCTCATGTGACCTTATTCATTTATTGGAAAAAAACTGATTTCCACGAGCGGCCCCGTTATGAAGATCACTGTTTTTTGCCAAATTTTGTCGAACATTTCCGGTGGAACATAAGTAACTCTGTATGGATATGTTGTCCCCAAGAGAATATTTGAATTCATGCTTCCCTATATCATCCTGATGACAGCTAATAACGGTAAGAACCGAGAATTAGTCTGGTTATTCCTGGAACACGTTTCTGGAACAACTTTCTCCAATTCTAAAAACTTTTCGAAACATTTTAACGCCGTTTATTAGAAGGTTGTACAAAACACAGTAGAAAACAAGACAAACAGTGATGAGAACTCAAAGGTATATCTCAATGAGCCAACTTACTGCGGGTTTGGCAGCCTCCTCGCGGGTGACAACCTGCGTAAGAAAGTGTGACGACACAAGAGTGAAGAATTAAACTGCAGCGACTTCAATGAGGCCCCACTACTTATACCCTTGCTATTAGATAAATACATAAAAACGACATAAATGCGAAATACAGTTTACTTTGCGACTCCTCTACTTGGAAAGAATGAGAGGGAATTACCTCGTGGGCACACGCTTTGGTGGGAAAGTTGAGGACCCCTTTCTATATTTCATAGTGAAACAAAAGACAGTCAGCTTGAAACCTAAGTAGTCGAAGCTCATGAAGGTACCAATGTAAGGATCCCCATATGAGACAAAATCTTGTGTAGGACAGCACGTGTCACGGCCTATGCGGAACAAGAGCCTTACCGAGCTTTAATGACGAGTAGGACTGCAAGAAGTCTACACAGTGACAGGCAAGTTTGAATAAAACTCGACGCACCTATGTGGAGAGTGCTCAAAAGGATTGTCGCACAAGTAAATGGAAACTGTTGAGTAAGTTGGAACAATGAATTTCTTCTGGATAGCCAGATCCACGTCTTACTGAACGGTCCATACACCGCTTTTATCTTGCGAATGGATACAGCGCATCAAAGACCAGTTGTACAACAAAAACATCACTGCAAAATTTAGGGGATAACGTTTATACAGAACATTACACCTAGGTAAACAAAGGGCGATTGCTTACCTTTTGCGTGAATTCGCCACCGGGAATCAGCTGACCACCGAACCGCAGTTCCACGCATAGTTCACCCAACTGTTTCGGAGTGTAATACACGCTAACGATACCATCACTGTTCTCCTCAGACTCCACAGGTAGCAAAGTAGCTGAAACGCCCGGTTTCGTGGCAGGTTGAACCACCTGGCAAGTAAGGCGACCAGTGCCACCTTGAGCAATGTTGACTCTAATCACGTTCTCCGTTTCGATAGGGACGATTTCACTAATCGGATCTGAAAGCATTTAAATTGTAAGCTTAAGGGAAACGTCTAGGTTACCCACTGAACATAAGAACCATTCCCAGCTTTAAATTTCACAGTTCAACCTTCATATCCTCGTGGTTCTCTGGAATCTCGATTCGCAATGTGTACCACAGCTTGAAATCTAAGCCTGACAGACTCAAATAAACAAGTGCGAAATGAATGTGAAGGCCAAGAAACAACATGCCTGTCTTTGTGCTCTAAACATAACGGAACATAAAAGTGGCTTTCTTCATTGACCTTCTCAGTGCCACCAACGCCTGGCGAAAATCCAACCTTTATGCGGATCGTCTGCATTATCCTAGGTAACTAATGTCAGCTTTATTAAAGTTGCACGGAGTATCCGTAAAGAGACTTACCAGACCAGGCATAATAAGCCAAGGTCCCAAAATTTAAACGAGGCACCTTTTCCATCAGTCAATAAGGCGATCGAAAGTAATGACAAAGACGATGTACAATTATTTACAAATCAAATAAGTACAAATTTATGGTAACAAACCAACATAAATGGACAGCACCTAAGATGAACGGTAAGTTAAGATACGTTAACCACGTATGATGTGGAAAACAAGAATGGTAAACATAACCTTCGTGTCATTCATGTGATGAAAACAAGATAGACACACTATGAACAAAGTAACACCGCAAGACAACTAAGTGTGCAGTCATGGCAGAACATTTTCAAAATACTCAACAGGCCAAAAGTCAGGCTGCACCTGAAGAGAGATACCGATCAGCAGGACTTCCTAAAGGATGCCCATATTCATTGGAGATTCCAGGACTGAACTGAACTACTTGCCACTAGGATTAAACGTCAATTTTGTCACTGATGCTTCATTCCTTTACAACCATAAAGTTTAGTTAATTATGTCCAAAGCCTTGAAGTGAAACAAACGCAAAAGACTGGATGAAGGCGGCACGGGGTGCCGGTCCAACACATGCATTCTGAGGTAACTACGCCACCAAGCGCTCAATCGGATAATCTGGAAAGAAACCGATTGTATTATTGTGATTACCGCTGGCACGGAAAGGTCGACAGTGCTGAAATCTTCCTGAAACGACATTGTCAGCAATATTTAGGCGTACACATGAATACCAGAAATCATAAACAAGCCTTCATACTAGTACTTTCTTACCTTCTATTGAACACAGATCCGCTCGGCCAGTTGGAACGCTCTGGATAACGAAAGGGCTGTTATCCACCTCCACTCCGGCAAACATGACATGAATGTTGTGCGGACCGACTAAGTATGGTTCGTAAGTACAAGACAACAGCCCGGTGTCACTGACATCACCGGAGGCTAAACTGGTCACAGAAGGGACCGCACCATTCGTCACGATGGACTCGTTATCCACAGGCAGAGGAACGACACGAACAGGTACAGACTGTCCCCTTGGATCCTGAAATTGTATCAAGATTCGAAAAATGTTTAGGAAACAGTAACAAACGCACCATGCGTACTATAATAATTTAGTATAATAATACTTACAGTCAGTCCGAGAGTCAGATCACCCATGCCAGCATCTCGAGCATCAACTGTGAAGGTGACAGGCAGGCTGGCCAGCACAGGACCATCTACTCCAGGTCCAAGGACACGTACGCGCTCCGGTTCACAAGATTTCCGAATCTGAACCAAGAAAGGAGATCCAGGAACATGTTCCCCGTCGTACAGAACCTCGATATGACACAATCCTTCTGCTTCGGGGGTGTAGGTGATCTTATGATAGTGCTGAGGTTGGGAAATGTCTTTCCCAGCAGCGGCACCTAAGGGCTGGATATGCGCTGGTCGCGTTTCTCCTCCAGGTTTAGGTGTGTACCGAACCTGCGGACGGACATACGGGTTGGTAAGTTGTACATAGAGTGAAACAATAGAGCTTGACTAAAGTGGTTACTTTCAAGGTGGTAGAAAACTTCGGCATAAGAACTTACAGTGAGCCATTTCTCTCCCACAGTTTACATTTCTCAACATATGACTGTTTCCGCGTGTTGAAAAGCTTCATGAGAACTACCCTTACGGGTAGTTCCGCGAATGATTCCGTCGAAGAGTAGTAGTTAAAATCAAAATTTACCAAATTCTTTTCAGAAACCGAATGAAGAATTACAAAGTGAAAAATCGGTGGGATAGACTGTGGGATCACTCCATTGAAGTGCTGTATGTAGACATAGCGGAAACGTCCAGATAACCGAATACGCCAATGACCACGCATCAGTCTTAAATAACATTCAGTAGCGCTATAGTGCACATATTACAGGTTAAGAAGACCCCATCTTCAAGTAGCAAAGAAAAGCCTGTTTTACCGCAATTAAAGAAAGCGTAAAATGGAACGATTTCGAAGTCAAACCGCTAAGGGTTGAATGCCGCATATTTGTAGCCTAATCGGAGACTTCTCTTTATCGACAGTGTTGATTAGAATAGGCTCTTTATCGATGGACGGCACTCCCGGAAAGAGTACGAACAGCGAAAATCAGTTCTAGTGAAAGTACTGGCTTGCAGTGTCCTTCAGGCTGTAAAATGAATGAACACTACAGGAGGATAGCTGTGACTGTTTTAAGACAGTCATGGTAGCTCATGATCCAGACGTACAAGAGGAGTGGGTGGATCAAAACTTAGTTCACACGGCTTAATCCAATGAGAGACGTCAGACTTCTTTTCTGAGGCTAAATGCATCTGATTTTCACCCACAGGGGACTACAAAACTCAATCTGAGTCAAGAGCTCCTCTGAAAGACAATGTACCTGGAAAAATATCACCACTATCCCCAAAAAAGCATGCGACAGGGATCGTAAAGTCTTTGGGGTGTAACCTTTGGAATGCATTAAAAAACCTCTCTCCACTACGGTATGTTGGAATGGGTTTATAAGTGCATTGCGAGATTAAATGTGGTACCAGAAAATGAAAGCTTAGTCGTCCCAAGCTATATCGCCCATACCAATCTTTTTTCAATCTTTTTTCAATCAACTCCGTAATGACGATGTCTCCTCGATTGGTGACAAAACGCGTGGAATCAAATTGCCAAGTCCAGTGAATAAACAAATCACAAAACAAGCACAATAGATATTTCAAAAATGACCTAACCTATGTGACGTGCAGGTTTTTGCACAGTTAAGACCATTCTCGAGACAGAGTGAGGGTTTGTGTAGTCCTAGGGGAATGATCTGAATGATTAATTGAAAGAATAGTGTAGTTCAGTTATTGCCAGACTGAGTCCGAATAATCATTGCAGTGTGCTAGAATAGGTCTCTCAGCCAAGACCTCCGGCTCGAACGCGGGTCCTTCTAGCTCCTACTGGTTACTAAATCCCAGAAAACTAAATTCCTGCAACCAGCTGAAAAAAAAACAGTAACACTACACGGTAGGTGTGAGAGGATTTTAGGGATTGTCTAATCCTTTGTCTAATCCTCTCGCGACGATTATCGGCGCCTATTGAAGAGTCGAATACAGATCGGTGAGCACTGGTATACGACAGTATGAGTTGACGTCTTACCAATTTACGTCTGTTTAGATGGAAAATTATTTGGTCCGAAGATGTTGGTAAAAGGTTGAAACGGTGACTCTTCACCGCCATATTTACGTAATCAAATGTACACGTTCATTTGTTTATCGGATTGCTGTGAAAACTTATCGATGACAAAATAACATAGATATCTCGAACTTTTCGCTGTCCAAATAAGCTCAGTCAACCAAATACCGTATATAAAACTATCTAATCCACCCAAACTGTGACATGTCAATGTCTACGGATCTGTTGTGGTGACTATAGGAACGATTAGCCCAGATAAAGAGTAATTTCACGAGACTAGTGAAACTTTCACCCGAGAGGTCATCACTCATGGAGCTAGTCAGCACGTGACCACGTGATGTACTTCTGTGATTGGAGGATGAGCAACGCCCTATCCAAAGTGAGGGCTAATCACTGCCATTTGGCCGCCTGCAACCGAACGGTTAAATGAACACATACGGGTCCCAAAATTGCGGATTCGAAACTCCATGAGTTTCGTGATATGTGCACCACTGGTAATCCCCAAATTTGGATGAAACAGCTGCACAGTGGTTTTCGGCTCTTCAGTATGAACTGGCTTCACTGACAAGACGATCAAAGATAATAAGAACAGCGAAATCTGGCTGACCGCACTCGTTAATTAAGTAGCACAGATCATCCTTATCCATTCATGAAGCAGGCAAGAAGCGAAAAGCGAAAGCATTTCCCTCATAAACGTAAGCAGCGTCAAACATCGGTAATCCAAAATGTAGCTTGTTTCGAGGTAACACGAATGAATGCATTAAGGTCCTCTGGAGGTACCTCAAGACGCCGTAACGACGCTTAAACGTTTGCTAAGTTTTTGATATCACTCTGAAGCCTAAAGAGGGCGCAATATGATGACAGTATGGGAAGTGTCAATTAGAGTAAGTAAACTGTACTCCAAATAATTCAAGAGTATAAATAAAGCCTTATCCTACTTGGTAGGAATAAGCAAACTTCTCATAAGAGAAAGATTTCCTTGCAAAGGCGTTGATTGCATGTACGTTGAACAACATATAATACATCCGGTATGCTAGATAAGAAAAGCCTTACGACTGCATCAAGAACTGAATATGGGTGTACGTAACCACAAAAAAATCAGTCGTACATCGCCTTGATAGCAAAAGAATGAACAGCCATTATGCAGATATTCAGAATGCAGACAATGAGGGCTGGTTTCGGAAAATTCATCCGCTGTGTGAACAGTTCGGTGCTAGGATCTCAGATAATAAAATGTTTACTTGGAGACAAAAAAGAGTAACCCTGGCGCCGCCGGTATGTGGCATTAGAGATAACTGGTAAGTAGAAAATTTGTCTCCTTTTACTCAAGTTTACCAGTGTTTAGATGAAAGTCACTAGTCGGGTTTTTTCCCACCAACAGATATCGAATAAACCAAAACTGTGTAATAGCGTCCCGAAAGGTCTTTCGGCGTACTTGGACTTTGCAACCCATGTCTAAACGTTGTTTTTTAAACACAGACCGGAGAGCTACCAGAGTATTTTTCACTTGCCAGCCATTATTTGCATTTGTCTATTGGCAACGTGTTTCAGTCGCTTGACAGTGCTCGACTCTTTGTGACTTTATGTTCAGACCCCCATATTCCGATTCTACCGTCGAAATTAATTGATTATAAAATCATTTACACGATTTTTTGAAAGTTTTCAGCTGGGGTGGATTTAGCTGCGCAGCGGAATGAAAAAGGACTGTGCCGAGTCCGTGTTTTCCGCGATTTGGACGTGTGTTGCCACGCGTTGCCAGACCACCGGATTAGTGTGCCTCAATAATGCCGCTGGACACGACACTGGTTACTGGTTTGTAATGAAGCAATAGCTCCCACAAATGAGCAAATCAATGGATGACCAACGGCTAAATAGATTCATTGAATATCGTACAAACTGTGTACGCTCACATCTCAGTCCAAAACATTACTCAGCCGCAGGTCGGCATAATTTGATGAAACCTGGACATAAGAAAGCAGGTGTGCCATCACTGTCACAAGATGCATTGGTGAGAAGAAACTGAATAATAACGGAAAACATGGTATGCAAATGATCGTCAAACATTAGCGCTACGCACTTGCAATTTGGCATCGCCAGCTTTCTTTGTGTCCACTGTGAAATAGGCCGGCCAACCGGCTCGTAATAGTCCGGACTCCAGACCAGGGCCGTAGCACTGAACTTGGCTTGGGTCAACTTTGGTCTTCACATCCACGTAAAATGGACTATCTGAAATGCGGAAAATCCGGTTATATGGCCAAACAGCTGACATTTTACTCCGAACAAATAATCAGATTCAAGTGAAGGCGGCTTTCAATTGAGACCGTTCCCGATATCTACAAAGTCAACCAGACGAGCGGCGCATTAGAATGTTAGCTAAACTGGGGTAAGACTCCTGGGCATGCGCGCAGTCTTAAGAACAGTGTTGCGTAAACGTGCATTGAAATACTTGGCTGGGCTCAAACCAAATACCGTGATGCTTCGCAACCGCGTCTAAGAAATGACACAGAGGTTTGACCGAACTACATGATAACGATTCTGACTTCATTCCGGTTACTTAGTGCCTTTACTTGAAAATTAAAGAACGTAAATGAATGGATTATTGAAGGAAAAGAGGCAATTTCATTGTATTTCTTCCCCAGATCTCGTGAAGTATCTCCTGTTGAAATCAGAACCCAGGCGCACACTTTGTCACTTCCTTATAACAATGGCAGTGGCACTGAGTAGTTGCATTATGCCCTACCTAAGGTGGGGCACACCTAAGAACAAGGCTATTAAGTGTGAGGGAGGGCGTCCGCCCTGTTTTTACTCACCGCTTTCTCCAAGTCATTTCCTAGCTCCAGTAGAAAGATCAGAAGTAACAATTCACTGATGATAGATGAGATTGGCAAAGCACATATGTAAGGCCTCACTCTATAGGCTAAAGGTCCGACTTACTCACAGAGCCCTTTTAACTAGATTAAAAATGCGACAAGTAACTTTTGTCGCATTGGTAATGACTGTTTTCATGAGTAAGAACGGTAGGACAAAAATACTCATACTTGTATGCAATGGTAAACAAGGCTCAGAAACGTTATCAGTGGTCCCTTTCTGCTTAATCTATCGTAATCAGTGCATAAATTCCCCCTATTTGACGGTAGAGTACTCTGCAGTTAAGCTCAATGGTTATAATTCGTGGTTACCTAGTCCTTGAATTCGCTTGCTTGCTCATACTGACGAAATTTTGATGTAAGCACGAAGTACTATGATTCAGTTGAATTGTACTCATGTTTATTACTAACCTAGGTTTTTCGTACACATCTTTTGGGGCTCATTTCTTCGTCAACGTTGGACTTATACACTGTTCCAAATATTACTGCAGTCCCTAATTTGAGCAGGCGCGTTGCGCACTCCCTGACTAAATGAGGTGGATATAATGGTTTGGTAGTCAGAATACTTAGATGCCTCACATAGGCAGTCATTTATCTATATTTCCTAATGGTTGCGATAAATTTTTCCTTTTGCATTGTATACTGAAGATCACGCGGATAGCTGCAGACAGTTCCGTTCACCCATGAAGTGAAAGAAATCACGGAACTCATTAAACACAATGTATCCTGCTCAATGGAGTCATCATCCATAACTAGAGAATTAAATAAGCCCAATGGCTCTAATGGCTAATGAAAGATATTGCTCACGGCGCATGGGTTCGCTGGTCTAGTAGCCAACAATGTATACCGGCACCTGTGAGTCAAAATGATTGTTCCACACACCAGTTAGTCTAAGGTTACTTAGATAAAAGGTGCTCCAGTATTAAACGCTCGTCAGTGTTCTGTGTGTGAATACACAATTCACACCGAGGCTGTGACCATCGAGTGAAAGCAATATTTACTGATACGTAGGGAAATTAAAGTTGACGTGACAATGTGAGAACCCACTACTGTGCGAAAATACAACCTCTGAATTGAGCGTCTAAATCTGTTTGGTGAGAATGTGTCCGTGTTGAGAAATGGTGTTAGGAGTACTCTAGACAAAAGATAAAACAATGAACGGTCGTTAGGACCGAAACATGGCTTCTGGATGGTAGTTTTGATGGTAGTCCTTAGTTCATAAAGTTAGAAAGGACGTGACTGCTCGTATAAACCCATCACTGGTGGATCATTGACTTTTTGAATGGGATTTATGTCGAACCGTAATCGGGTTACTTAAGGATCTTGATGCGAAGAACCATTTTAGTGAGGTGGGCTGTGTCGCGCTCCATTATCGTGTTGAAACGTCATAAATTTTAGCTCGTTTCTCTGATGCGGAAGATGCGGGAATTTGTAGTGTCATAGTGTATAAAGCAGCTATGCGTTCCCATTACAAAATCACCAATTGAATTTCACTACCCACGTAAACATCAGCAATTTAAGCTCCAAGACTGAAGTACAGCCTTTTAGTTCATGCGTAACGGCGGGGTGCATCAGTTTTCTAAATTAGACATTTCACATCACTGAAAATCACGGTGTCCCATCTAAAGTTTTCCGATGATGTGATTTATAACCCAGTTCATTTTCTTTTAAAAGTGGCTACAACTAGATCCAAGGTAATCGTTTTGTTAACTAATTTATCAATTTGTCATTATTACCAAGTTATTATTATTATCAAGTTATTAAGCAAACTCGAGTGAGATACGTACTGCAGCAGTCACAGTATGCGTCGCACACTAATGTCCAACCCAAGGGTTTTGTAGCCTCGAGGTTCGGTTAACATGATCTGAGGCAGCCCAATCACTTGAAGTAGCGTGAAAGCTAGACATAAATTCCGCTGGTCCAGATTCATTCAGGGCGATCTTAGGGGTATTCATTTCAAGATAGTGACTCCACTGAGACTTAGACGGTGCTTGCCGACCTGTGGCGAGGCAACACAAATACCACTTCACGATTGCCGACGAAACAGTACTTTCCCCGCCAACTTACAACCATAGAAATGATGAGAAAAAAGTTGCATAAGTTCTGAGAAATAACAGATGAGGTGCTGCATGATTTGTTAGTCATCCTTCACGCGTGTGACCGATATACATACCGGAAAACGCGAACTACTCTGCTGAGCCTGGCACGCGTGAGCTAAGTTCATGTCAGTCAGATCAGTCACGTATCGATTTCTATGATCCACACAAATTTCGGCTTGGTGAGCAATATAGCTTACTGCGTCCCAGATCACTCGGATATATTTTGCGGAATATGAACTGAGGTGATTTAAGAAGACTCACTTGGAACGTTCGTATCGTTGAATCTCACAAAAATCGAATATTGTCCTGGTTCCTTGGGTGTATAAAAGACCGTGCACGTTCCATCCCGATTGTCACGACACCTGATGGGAGCTTCGCTAGGACCCTCAACGGCCAAACCCAAGCCACCCTGACCGGCACCCGTAAGGTCGACGGTGAATTCGGCGGATTCTCCGGGACACAGATGTGGTCCGTTCTCCAAACCTTTACCGTAAACTTTTACCCTGTTTGGGTCACATCCAGGAATAACGCGAATATTAAACGGGCTTCCTGGTACCTGAACACCTTCGTAACTAACGTCAATTTGGTGGGCGCCTGAAACATACAAACGAGTTCAACTAAGATGTTTGGAAACGTACTCTTGGAAACGAATGCTTCTTAACAACGGAGGGAGAAACAGGTCAGTGAGTCACTCACACCTTGCGTTTCGTATGATTATAAGCATCTAGTGGAAGCAAATGATTGAAGCAAAAGTCTGAATGTGGCTATGTTGCTGTCCACAGATGAGGCTGATGGCGAAGCGCCCAAATCGCGTACAGCGCGTGTGCTGCAACACATCTAGTTGTATATCGCCTAGTGAAACCAAATGGACAAAATCAGGGAATGCTTCAGTTGGCCATAATTTGGCATAATTAGTCGCATTTAAAATGCATAACTGTGGACGACATTTCCAACCTCATCTCAAATAACTCACGCATGCTTGTAGCGATCGAAACACATAACAGTGATTGGACAGAGAAAGTAAAAAAACAAGTGACTTGTGCAAAGCGGGGTTGAAGACCTATTTCAATATTGATAAACAAAGGTGCCGTGGGAATTTCATGGCGCAGAAGCAATGAATAAAGAGAATTCACCAAGACGTTGAGTAGGAAAACTTTCAAATCAGACGTATGGTAACGGAAATCAAGATACAGCTGATACTGAATCCGTCTGGTCGTTGTAAAATCGAGTTCACTCACAATCTGATCGCTTCGTTCTTTACAGATGACTTTTACTTTGAGCTGAGTCAGCTTAGGCTTCGTTTGGTATTTCTGAGCCTATCAACTTGGGAAATAGTTCGAAGGAGAACATTTAAAATTGAAGTTAGGACTAGAAGTTTAACACCCATCGCACGGACTCAATAAATCGATCCAAATTTGTGGAATATAAATAAACGGCTACGGAACTCGATGAAGTGGTCTTTCTAGAACCGAATGAAAGCTCTAACCTTTGTTCACCTCACTACATAATCTAAGAGGATAAAACAATCCGGGTGAACATTAGTGATGAGTTATCGTGAGTATTCTTGCAGTGAGCCCACAAACGTAGATGTCAACTAACAGCACACGAGTATATGGCTGTTTGCACAAATAGTGACGAAAGAGCTGCGAAAGTCTGCTAATGTTAGAATTATACCAGGAAGTTTTTCGGTTCACGGTGTAACTGTCAAGGCAGAATAGCTACTCAAATATAACATAAAGTATAGCATAAAGTATCGACAAATACACCCATTTGCGAATCGATTTGTTTCTCACAAGGGACTCCACTGAATCTCTCGTTTATGATACGATTATGTGATGTGTGAAAATGATAGTGTGCTACGTACATGCCACCTCATGTTTCGGCTGGGGCGATATTCGAGATATAACGGTATATTTTCAGAAAGGAAACTACTCACAAGGTTTCTGAAAACTCTTCGACAGCCCACGGCCGGTCTCGCCCTTCTTGAAGCTCATCCGGTAGGTGCAGTCCCCGAATTTCCGTCAACCTTCTGTTCTGCTTGAACCCAAATTGGGCTGAATTTGACAGATACACCCATTTGTAAATCAGTTTAGTTTTCACGTGTGACTCAACTGAATCTCTCGTTTGCATCTGCCATACCTAATGAGCCCCAAGAAGGGAGAAATCGTGGGTTGCCGAAGAGTTTTCAGCAGCAACCTTGTGAGTAGTTTCCTTTAAGAGGAACATAAAGTAGTTTGTTAGCGAGTAGCAGAAGCTCCAGTAATCTATTTAGTCACGTAATGAATGCGTAAGTGAACATCTTGATTGGCTGAATTTTGTGAAATAGCAGACTGGATAATCATCGAAATGACGTTGGGGTGAAAGCTCAATGCCCCTAACGGAGGCAACACATAAAGAGCATTTTCCGTTCCTAAGAGTGATGTTTTGAAGGAAAATGAATAAGAACATACTAGTAGAGAATAAATCGATTGAAGTGCATTGGATTGACACTTTTAACCTACAATCCAACTGAGATCCTAAAGCAAGGGTTCCAGCATTAACCTCCGAATACGAAGTGATAAAAATTCACTCAATGGGCTGGGTACAAAATTACTGCTCAATAATCCACGCGGTCCCGAAACCCTGCCGACATTAATAAATACGAAGGTAAATGGAGACATCGACTGTGACTGAGCAGCACTAGTTCCCCTTTGGTTACTACCAACTCACAGTGTATCACGCAGGCGGAAGTGATGTGCAAATGAACAAGAACCGAGTCTATAAGAGGCGCAAATAAGTCTACATCAAATTCAGCGATCTAACATCTAATCGAGTGCAAAGCAGTAGCGGCTCGTAAAACCTCACGAAATATGATGTCGCAAACGGGCACTCATAGCCTGGACACACTCACGGGAAAGTGGGACAAACATTCAACAGGAACGTTTCTAATTGTAATGTATTACTGAAACAGTCAATGGAGACTTGTTAGTGGCTTCCAGCAGATCTGCGACTAAGAAAATCCTGAACATGAATACCAATTTCATTCAGAATGAGTGAGTGACTAAACTCATAAGATCCATTCCGTTAGTACTGTGGCTGACGCACGGTCAGCATGCAACCACTCCTGCATACAGCCTCCAGCTTATTTTCCTATAAACCTGAATGAAAACTACCTTTCACCTCTTAAATACACAACATTTGCAGGTCGGAGAGGTAGTTAATTTCAAGGTAGCCTCTAAACTAAAACAAAGCTTTGTTTACATTTAGAAGTGAAGATTCAGTTGATTTTCAAGGATAGGATGACCCATGCCACTGTTCGCCTGTGGGACCTACGAATGCCGGATAACTGGTGGGAGCCTCACAAAACATGCAAGAATCTGACGAACGTTGGTCAACCTCTTGTAAGTAAAAGCATTGGGCCCTATTTCTGCTAATAATGTGACAGTTGGGTGCAGCCAAGTTCTACTGTGCTTTCTGTGTGACCAATCCGTAACTAGACCAGATTTTTGTTCGCGAAGTCATTCTCAACGTACTCGGCTTTGCTAAAATATTTCAGACTCCTGGGGACTCTGTTTAACGTTGCGAAAATGAAGGTACTGAACTATGCACCCAAAGAGAAGTTTTACCATTGTTCACTAACTTGAAAGAGCACGTACTCTGTCCTGAAAAGTGTGAGCTCATACCGACTGGAATATATCCAGAAAAAAGACCGGAAACACAACTGAACGATCTGTTTGGAGCTCTGCTCGACTAACCTTCCTCCAGAGGGGTGTAGCTACAAGTGTATGTTCCGTCGTTGTTGTTCGTCGTTTGACAAGCTAATCGCTCGCCGTCCGGTGCGGTTAAAATTGCCGAAATCACACCTTCACCAACCTTATCGATTTCTGAAGCGTCCACAGTGAATTTCACATAAGAAGCTTTGTAGACCCCTGGGTTAATAAGAGAAAACGACAGGAATTCGATTATGATTACAATGATGAACGATATGAACAATGAGCATTATCTGTTAGCACCATGCGCTCCCAAACTCACGTACCGTCTGCTTCAACCCCAACACCGTGTGTGCGGATTTCATCTGTGCTCAGGTCGATTTTACCAACTGGGTATGCCTGAACAAAAAACGGGCTTCCTGAAATGTGGGCTTCTCCATTATAGATTACACTGATTGTGTAGCGCCCGGGCAAAGGAGGATTGTATGAGACATCGCATGTTCCATCTCCATTGTCGATACAGATGATTTTCGCCTCGCTGGGACCAGTCACCGTCACACCAAGAGGGGCTGGTGGGGCGCTACGGCTATCGATGGTGAATACGGAGATTTGAGTGGCTACAGCTCTTTCAAGACCAGAGCCAGCTGCCGTCACAGTAGAAGCTGGGTGGTCTGGAAGACACTGTGGCCAGCTGCTCTTTGCAACCAGGACGGTCTGGTGATTGAGTGAAGAATGGAAAGCCCGATAAGCTAAAGTGAAACAGGACTGCAATGCGTCCTTTCACATGCAACCGCTTAGCAGCAGTCACCGTTTCAGATGCTCGAAGATGCCCAAGATGCACACTGATGCGAACTGACTCATACAGAACATCAGGTTGTGTCGTTTAACTGATGATAGGGGGATGCACGAAGTGTTTTGAAATAGGATTTTGGCCGTTCGAGCGCATAAAGAATCCTCCTCTATGCGGCTCGGTTAGTTATTACCACCGTAACAAAGACGTGTGGTACAACTTATCCAAGTATCGACTTGCAGGTTACAGCAAAGTTCAATAAATTTGGGACTGAAGCATTTTAAATCTTCACGAGTCATGACCGGATCGATGATACGTAGTTCATATAGTGAAAAGTAAGTTAAGAGTCCAAATAAATCTGACCTACAAACGCTAAGAGTAAACGGATGTGGTCAGAAGAACCAATTTCACTATATATATATATATATATATATCTTAAGCAGGCATTGCATGAAAGAAGCAATCACCAAATATAAATATCCATGGATTTTAGTGTAGCGATGAGACGGCAGAGTTGAAATTACGTATGGCAACCAAATCCCTGCTTCAATAACTTATTTGTCATTGCACTACTGTGAACTGAAAATCATTCCACAGTAGGTCGATGGTAAATGATGTTCACAATCATTATGTGCTTCAGAGGTAAGATTCACGTTGAGCCTCAAAAATCCATCATCGAGCATTTATCCCAAATTTGTGGAAATATCATAGTTTCTTGACAATTTTAGCGTCAGTTAGTGTCAGGTAGTCATGTGAAAGTTAGATTTCTTCAACCTAAAGGCTTAATGTTATCCCAAAAACGGCAAATATTTTGTGGTGTTGTTCCGGCACGTCTTATGCCACTATCCATATGAAAAGGGAGATTCAGTATCCTCATGAAAACCACACTTAACAAGTCTGCATGCAGGAGCCAAAATATACGAATAGAAAGATTCATAAAACGACATGCAGACCATTCATGTGTCATGCGCACTTAGGACAGTATACCTTCTCAATGTCTGTAATGAATGGGCGTGGTGGATAACGGCCAAAGTTGGAACTACTCCCGTCACTCCCTGTTGTGTCGTCGGATTCGCCTTTCGCTAATGCTGATCCGTCTATCAGTTGAGTAGTTGAAGACTGATGTTCCAGCTGCTGCATCACGGGGTCCGTGAGGACTGTGTAGGTCATTATTTGGTGTATGTCCACGTTCTCCGAAAATAAGGATTCATCTTGACAGTCTGTTTCACTTCTCCCTGTTATTCTAACGTTAAACAGTTTTCGGACCGGGGGATCATCTTTACCTGGTTTCGTTAGCGATGCCATAACTGCGAAGCCGTCCAATGATGATTCACCAGAAGCATTAGAAGGTGGCTCATTCGATTTAGTACACTGGTCCGGGGAGGTGTGGGTATTACATATGCTGGCACTTGTCTCCTCAGCCGGACGAAGACAATCATTAAAGTTTGCTTTTTTCAACAAAGAGCAGTCCCATGAGACTTCCGCTACAAAATTTTTCTCAGAAGGAGGAACATCACTCTCAGTAAGACAAAACGCCTTCATATATCTAGAGTCGAAACTTATAAAACGGGGTTTCATAATTTCTTTGCTAACAACGCCTACGGTGGTGGGTAGTTCAGTCTCTGAAGGACGAAGATCAAACCCATTGGTCCCTTCGGGTATGTCACTTTTGTCGTTTGCGAAAATACTCACGTGCACGCGCTGGGAATTAATCACAGTGAAGGTGACTGGATCGGTTATGGTTTGTCCGCCAGAAAAGATGGATGCCTGGAAAACTCCGCTTTCTCGTGCTTTGAAAGTAACAAGTAGCCCGTCAGTTGTTTCAGTAACCTTACACGGCAATGAAACCAGTGGATCTTCCACGGACAGCAGTGAAACCACATAAGAAGATGCCGGCCGGCAGGTCAAAACGTTAAACTGTTGCTCAGTGTTGATGGGTACCGCTATGGGGTAGTGCAGAAATGTAGCGTAAAAGTGCGGCATTAAAATCAGCGGTATTGGTGCCGGGCGACGCCATAAAATGACAGCATTGCATGTAAAACCCCAACAACAAGTGAATTTTACTTCGATCCCGGGAACATCGAAATTAAAGAGCATAATAATCATCCTTTTGTTCCACCACGGGGCCTAGCCATCAGGATACTGCTCAACATAGTTCGACAGTAAACCAAGTGAACAACGCTAGTAGTTCCTTGGATTCCATGGACCAAACTTCACGAAAGCCAATGAAGTTCTCCCAAGGGCAGCACACTGCAGGTGCCTAACGCCACCTACTAAATAAGCGAAAGGGTGCGGTAATGCATATCATCACTGCATTGAATTGTCACCTTTATCCTTCACAGATAGTCATGTTTGGATGTGTTAAGGTCCATTCATCAATACTAACGGGTAAAGAGCCATCAGCAATGGTATTTATAACCATATTAGCGCAGATATTGACGCTTCAATGCCTTGATTGATGGCAATTAATTCTCTGAAGCAGGCGGCCATACATTAATTGCTCCGACTGAAGGGTGTGCACTGATCGAAAGGCTAATCAACAGCAGCACATCGCGTTCATGTTAAAAATACACGAGTAAACAAATTAAAACAGAAGTACCGCAGGCTAAATATGCTGTTTGATGAATACCCGGATCACAGAGTTTGCCACGGTTGTCATACAAGGTACACGGTTCAGGTCGTTCATTCGGGCAAAGCAATCTTGTCCCGTTATAATCAGTATTAAATTCTCATATGAAAACTCACTTTGTTCCAAACCAATGATTCTGATTGAACTTGTATCAAACGCAGGCCGCACCATTACATGCAAGGGGCTTTTCGAAACTGGTATGGAACCCAACATTGGAGTGAAGTAAATATCAGAGACATTAGGTGGAGGGCAGTACTCAATTCGATATACGCCGTCAGCCTGCCTGGATAGGTCGACTTGCACAGGTCGGCCAAAGTTATCTGTAGCATGAACGGTGACGGATTAGACTNAGACTGAAGAGCGTCAGTAGTATCAACGCCGGGAAATGCCTCAATGGGATTGAGAAGAAACCATGATGGTTCGTTTTGGACACACTCTTTTAGCCCAGGTCCCCATATCTTAACATTTTCCGGACGAACTTCGGGGGCAACGTTCACCTGCACACAAAGGGATCAAACGATATAAATGGATTAGCTGTTATCTTAATAGAAAAATTTTGCTGAATTGCAGAATGTAGCTGACGAGTGCACACTTCACTAACCGCTTGGATACGAAACTTTCTTCTCCATTGTTTACTTCAATTTGCGTGAATCGTGTATGGACGAGTCTCTCACTGAAGTAGTCTAATAGCCCGACAAAGCCGTGTTAAGCAAAATAACCACACAAAATACCCACTAGATGACACACTGCATGAACCTCATGAAAAGAAGACTGAAAAAGGATATGACAAGTGAACTCCTAATCCCAAACACCTGAATTTGAAGGTCACAGTTAATTCGAAGCTACATGTTCGAAATTGACTGTAAACTTCTGAAGACATATGTTGATTTTCCCAGCATAGTCTCCGAAAATAAAACTTTGAACAGCCAGTAAGCAAAGTGATTGGACGAGAACAGGCAATGAACGACTGTGATAACATAGTCAAAAACGCCCGATACTACGTAGAGAAAGTACGCTGAATAAGAAACACTGAGTATGACATACTTACCCTGTACGGCGATCCCTTAAGTGGGATATTAAGGACCGTAGCGAAAATGGTGTATGTTCCAGGTGTTGTTGGAGTAAATGAGTAGACAATTGAGCCATCAGCTCGGCGCACATAACGCACTGGCACAGAAGTTCCGAGCGCGTCATGACATTCAATATGTAGAACAGAATCCAACTTCTGATCTGCCAATGTTCTCTGCGCGACAGTGGACAACGCCTCTTTCAGACCATCTATGTACATTTCAACTGGTTTGCCAAGTGCGAATTTCGTTTTCGCCATTTCAATCACTGGGCCATATACGCGGACCTAGGGATAATGCGGTACAATTGTTGTTCATAAGAATGGAATTTGCGCGTACACAAAAATTTGGCATTCCTTTGACAGAATAGGCGATTTTATGGGCATCGTAAATGGAACAAGAGATTGACAAACCCGGAGATCCATCTGACTGCACGCGCAAGTGACTATCACCAACATTACTGATTTTAATACACCATTGATACATGCTGGCGCTTAACTGCCATGTGTCACAACAAAGGGGAGCACGGTCGAATTTAACTTGAGTGAATGTAGATCTACAGCGAGGGCGGCAAGGTAGGTTTCAGGCATAGATTTCAAATGGCTCGTTTTATCATCAAGAATATGCTACCAACCAAACTATAAGAAACTTAGGTACTTCACTTCGTAACCGGATTGTTTGTTATTCGGATAATTATTACACTTTGGTGTAGCGAAAAGCTACTCAGTGTAGACAGTGTGATCAACAGCGTGACGATCTACAGAAGTAATGTCATTTCCATGTTTTACACCAGGACGGCTTACCACTTCTTCTGTATATGACCTTTAGGCGTAAAATACTCCTTGGTATGAGTAATTACGCGGAGTACAGATGTTTGTCATCTACATTATCTCTCTAAACACAGAAAAAGTATGTATATAGTTATGGTATGCACTGACCCGATCAGCAAACACATCGCTCGAATCAGGCAGTATATTGGGCATGTATGGTGAGCCCGGTATATCCTCGTCTTCGTATAAAATATGCACGGCGTACTCTCCCGGTTGAGTAACCCAGTAAGTGACACGAGCTGTTCCGTCACCGTGATTGAAACAATCCATACGTGCCTCACTTGGACCTTCGATGGAGAATCCTGAAACAAAACGTAAAACAGTTGAAGGGAGCGTGCAGGATGTTGGATATAGTCACCATTCATCAGATATCGTGAAGCTGATAGCTATCGAAAAATTTAAATCTCGGGTTATTGAAACCAAACGGAAGGAATGAGAAAAGGAACAACTCGTTGGCACAACGGGGAGTCAAATAAATAGTTAATGAGCGATTATACACATCGTCACTGAGGTAACACGAAAAATGCACATTACATTTGCAGTTAAGATGCTAACAGCAGACCACGCAAATAATGCTTAGGTACACTTAATGGTAATATTTCGCAAACGACGTTTCCAAGCTGGCTAACTCACTCACTCGGAGAGGCTGTGAGCCTCATCAGGCATAGTAACAGGGAAGATGCAACGTACCTGATTAGGTTTAAAATAAGGAAGAATACCAAAATCTAGAGTTTCAGATGAGTTCCAGTTCAGTCGCTCAACACCCAAGAGTTTGCTATTAAAATCGTCATTTTTTGTGTTCTCATGAACCAGTTTTGGCGAATTTTCAGTAACATACGCCTGTTGATAGTCAAGAGACGAGAAAACTTCGTAGTGCTCTCCAGGAACAGCCTAATTATATTCAAGAAATGACTGCACTCAGGAATAGCACCTGAACTTCATCCACTGGTTTACTGCTCGGTAGGCTGAGCAACTAAAAGAATTTCTACTTGTGTGACTATAAATACGGACTTGCTTACCAACCTTACGAGATGTGTTATATAGAGACATTCATAGACTTTTACGATGTACATTCATTTGTGAAATAAGTTGGTAGCTCGGGGTAGCTCAGTGGTTGAAGCGTCGGCTTACTGACCGGAATCCGTCTTACGAACCCAACTTTGGCATCTCGACTGCTCCTGTCTAAGCTTGGACAACCTGGCAATATCTCAGATCTCGTGGGTCCTTCGAGTGGCGCGACAACTGTGCATCAAAAGGATGTTACAACTGGAAGTGAGCCGGTGTTAATGTTATTGACTGTTCTTCGAGAACACGCACTTAGTTCATTTAGGCAATCTACTCCAGAGATCACTTGGCCGAAAAGCAGACAAATTATGAGTACATACTTACCTATCTTGCTACTTTGTTCGCGGCAAGAAACTGAAAAAATTATCGGGTGATTGACTACACCGGCGACCAGACCGGGACCGGTGGCCTTGATGGCGGAAGTTTTGTGTGGACCCACAATGATCTAAAAAGACAAAATGCTTGTAAGTTTCTGGAAACGAAACCAAAAATGTTGAACGTCTCCGTTGTGTGTTCAGATGATTACTTACCTCAAATGGACTATTTTGAATATCGACTCCGCCATAGAGCACACGCAGACAATATTTTCCAGGACGACGAGGAATGTAACTGCAGTTCCATGTGTCCTTGTCTAATTGTTCCACAGCAACTTGCTCGGTTTCTCCATCTGAATAGTAAACAATATCCGACAAACTGGAATGATACGCCCATTAGTACTAAAAACGGTAATTTGAGTGTGCTAAAACATTTGCGCTACAGTTAACTTATGTCATATGAGGAACACCCTCACACATACTCACATTCCCTCTAACTATAACGGATAGACGATCTTCAGTTTGGAGCATAACACCCACTCAGCCAAACGTTTCCTCACAGACCGGTTTAGGCGATGAAGGAACTGTTCTTTTTTGCGCATAACTAACAATCGTGCCCAGCTGTGATCACATTTGCGTGAACAGAGAAGTCCGTGGGTGTGCTTTGCCAAAAAATCAATGGCGACTGAATATTGATCGACCCGAATCACATTATGCACGGCAGCGTATGACCGATAGAATCTGCTCAACATTGCGCAGATTTAAATTTACGAGAATTACAAGATAGTCGTCTCAGTTTCGGAAACAATGAGGGCGGAAACACGCCGCTTGGCTGTGCAATCGAACAAATTGATCAGGGGAGATAAAAATCCACACTTAGACAAACATTTCACATATATAATGGAATCTTCAACATTCAAACTGTAAGGGCCGATATTAAAGGGGTTAAGTGTTAGAGATTTCAAGAAAATGCATCCTTATGGAGCAAGATGTGTCCCACCAGGAGTCACAACGTTCATGTCACACTGTAGCTCAGGAAAAATCAATCGGAAGGACGGAGCAAAAGTGGCCTATTCTGGGACCAGCTAAAAAGTGGTCTGCTCTGAGGAGGATTCCATCTGAGGGGAAACAGACGAGAAGGAGGGTAGTGGAACGAATTGCTACCAGTTCACATTACTGATCATAATCCTTTTACTAATCATAATGTGAAAGGGCCTGTAGTGAGTAAGTTTGCCGATGGCAATGTTTCCTTTGGCTTATTACAGTTGTCAGTCGCGGCAAATGGAGTAGTATTCAAATGGACGTAAACGTGCACTGAAGTAATGTGATGACGAACGTCTTACGATATAAGAACCTTGTGTTCTTAGGGGAATGTGGTACACCACAATATCGTGTTCAGTTAATGAAAGCCAACCAATTATCATGATCATTAAAAATGACGGAGCAACCCAATCGTCACAAAACGAGGGTTTTCGTCCATTTTCAAATAGGCAACTCTATTAAATTTTAATTCGATGACGCACAGTGGGGGCCAGGAAGTCGAACGGGTATATTTGCGGCCATTGTGCTCACATTTAATCTAACCTTCAGTTCGGAATACAAAATGTTCGACGGCATATTGTCTGTGGACCTATAGTCGGGTACATGTCATCCTCCAATTTTATCACAAAAAATCAGTGGGTTGACCCAACTAAGAGAATATTATTGCTCTTGTTGGTATAGCTGACAACTGTAAACTGACTACACTTTGAGATTTAAGCTTTTTGGTAGGACAACTTAGATTTTTTAAATATAATGAAAACGGTAGTCAATGATAGAGGTCAATGCTGAGAAACATAAGACCTTACAAATTGCCAAAACGTGGATAGGGCTTGTGACCCGTGAATCAAAGTGCATTGCCTGATTTCTCAGTATTTGAACAAACATCTCGAGCCCGTATGGTCTATGAAAGGCTTTCGAAGTTAATATCGCAAAACCAGAGATGGCAAATTCAACAAGTCATGTACCAGCAAAGTGGTTGTCACTGCTACAGAGACCATAAGCCTCTCGCTTTCGTTCACTTAATCAGGAATCATAATTTCACCTGGTAAACGTAAGCTCCCCTTGATACATCACAGTTATTCATAAACAATCATTTATTTGTGGTACCCTACCAGTGTGTAGTTTTAACGAGATCCGAAAAAAACTAGACTACTAGTGTGACCAGACTGGGATGAACATATCTTTGTGCACAGTACCACAAGCTTACCAAAGCGATCGCGACTGCTCCCCGGAAAACTTTCTCCGTCAAACGTCCGGTCGTTAAAGTCAGTAAGTTTTACACTTATATTCATTTGACAATTGATTCGTTTGGCATAAAAACTTGTCCATTATTACACAGGCCACTGTAAACTTCTAGGAAGACACCGAAGACGATCTTACTCGTTGCACATTTATCCACGCTACTGGTATCAGCAGATCCTTCGCGCTCAGTGTGACACTATGTAAATACCTTAAAACGTCTGAGAAATTTCAAGTCTAGGGATATGAAAATTACCACAATAACTGGTTCGGTAGCACAACCGTGACCTTCGAGTGCAACGCAGGTCACATGGAAAACAGAGTGATCTGGAGTTTTGAGTGACTCCATACTAAAAGCATTTCATTGTAGACAGTGAAGAAAAACTAATTTGCCTGTTCTTTCCACAGGGGAACAGAAAACACTTACTTTGGCGAATCAAGGTGGCCAGAAGTGAAGCTTGGTTACCACATCGTTCAGTATGTATTTGAAATTCTACTTTGTCCTGTGCACGGATTCCACGTGGTCTCACACCCCTTCCGGTCGCATAGGCGAATTCCGGGTTAAATTCTGAAAAATGTAGAATACAGGGAATAAAAGAGCCAAAAACAACGCATTTATTAGGCTGCGTTCAAGCGATGATGTCAGCAGCTCATGCAGATGAATAATATTCGGATATCCAGAAAACATGCGACACCTAAATCACCTTTCGTTTCAAATTCCGTCTTCCCTGTGTGGTCTTTTACTTCAAGTGGTTTTCCGTTTACTTGAGTTTCATTACAAACATTTGGATCAGTTGCATGTGACTGATCAGGAAGTACGGTAAGTTCCGGTGATTCGATCCCAGTTGGAGGACTTTTGGGCCCTGTTCCACAGTGATGATAGGCTGTGAACAGTACAAATAGTAAATGAGTCACCAGGGTTGAGATTCACTTCGGATGGCTGAAACAGACATGCACATGCTTTTTTCCATTTCGCAAGCGAAAAGGGTAATCACCTCGGGGCTTATCTTCGCGCAGCTGCCAAACAGATTCCATGAATTCTGAGTCTGGCAAAGCGACGTGGTCAGGATTTGATGCATTTTCAACATTTTGGCCTGTCGCGCAAAACGTTTCACCGTGACAAAGTGATGATGAGTCGTGTATTCCATTGCCTACTGGCGACTCTGCACCTACGAGGAGAAAATCAGAGGACGACGATGTCATTGACGAACAAGGAAGCCTATCGAAACACGGTAGAATACCTTGACCACGAAGGTAAACCGCATGCAGATCCACAGCCAAGTAAACGTTCATGCTATAACCAACCTTCAGTTTCATTGTTCGATATAGCTACTGACTGATTTGTGTCTTGCGATACATTGTGACCATTCTCCACAGCTGTGTGCTGACCATTGCACTGAACTGTGCCATTCGATTTCGTCAAATCTTTGGAGGAATGCTGGAGTTTTTCCGTTTGCTCACTCGGACCATTGAGTTGCTCAGCATGCAACACGTCTGTCGACACCAGTGCTAACGGAGAATGTAACCTATCAGACAGGAGTCTACTGATTGGTGGTGTGACCACGGTGATGTCATGTTTCGTTTTCTCTCCATTTGAACTTGACTTTGGCACTTGTTCTACCATCGTGACGATCGCTGAGAGAGCAGCGACTGCAGCAGCTAATGAGAAAATTGCCGACAGGTGAAAATGTGTAACTTTTCAGGACAGTAGTGGAGATTTACACGTAAGGCGGACACGGCTGCAACCCAAGCCCATGCTACATGCAAAGGGAAATCCACAACCCACCGTACAGGGGACAAAGGATGACACCAGTGGATGTCGACACAGATCTTGCATGTGATACGAAACAGGATGACTACATATGGAGGAAGCAAACAAATGCGGGCAGCACATTCGCTCTCTAGTGAGAAAGATCGCATACCGTAACTTCTTACGCAAACAGGATCCTATGTTGCTGTATTCAGAGAAAAGTCCTCCATGAAAAGAGCATAGAATATAGTACACACACATGTACCATCTTCCTGTGGAAAGTCTAGGTTGTTCCTGCAGCCGAGGTGTTGCTGCTTGTTGAAACCCTCCTGAGTTTCACGATATGTCTCCACCATACTTCAGTTATACTGTAAGACCAGAGTGGTCAGATGGTCATTTTGATTGTCTCTATTTTTGAATATGTAGCGCTTTCTTCTCTGCGCGTTGTCATAGTGACTGCTCATGATGAGCTGGAATCAACGTTATACCTAGTTTTGATTCAAACGGGTCAAACACAATGCACGATCCTGAGTATTGTTCATCCCGTGGATTGGCAGCCACCGAAACGGGATGTTTTTCGTTGGAACGCACCCACCAAAGATTCAAGTCGTTGTCGCGACAGCGGATGACTCGCGCATGAGGGGCGGCAACGTGACTGAATGCGATTATGCACATCCGTAAGTACCTTGTGCTTTGGCTTTTCAGAGTATATCGCGGCGTCTGATCATTTGTCTGAAATCTGTCCTGCGGTGATATTGCATATGGCTGCTCAAAGTTGACGCAAGCGAATCAGATTGCAGAAAATAGGTCTCTGGAATGGCAATCAGACTCAAGATTCCGTACAACTACGCGCTCGGGTAAGCTGTCGTAGATGTGGCTTTGAGAGAAGTTATGCGCATTTGACCCAACGCACAAGCGATACTTTTGCGCTCCCCGCCAGGTTGTAATGTAATGTAATCCAATATCGTTCAGAACAATGAGTTTACCGCATTCATGTGTAGGAGCCGAACCCTTTCGCTGCACCACAGTTGGCTCGTCAGATTCATCTGCACTTTGGGTTACATTTTGAGTAAACAGTTTTTGGAATCATGATGAGCAAAGACATAAAAACGTGAAATTGTCCCCATCAAATCAAACGGGGCCTTCGTTTCGACGGTAAACTAGTCGAAAAGGATATAAGGCTGAGAAGGGGGATTGAGGCTTTCAGTGCGAACATCTAGCAGTGCTCGAACTCTTCTTTCATCTGCTGCCAATGGGCAGTTAATACCACTGGAAAGCACAACACATATCGTCATCCTTATGCTGAATGAAGCCGACAAGTGTGATGCAGTTTTGGTGCCGATTGGTGAAACAAGAATTTGTGTACAAGATGGTGCCGCATTTAGGTGTAAATAAACGCAGGCGATAAATGGACATTTCCTGCAGAAAATGTCCAAAAATCCTCAGGTTCTGGTGCTTTACGAACCATATATCTTGCAAGATAACTCACTCCCTACGACGGACAGATACGATATAGAAAAATAGCTTTCCGTCTGCTGGATATCGGTCTAGGATGACAGTGTCTGGAATGTTTACTGTCAAAAAGAATATATCCAGGACGATTACATACTACCTAGAATTCAGAACTGGCTCATTGTAGTTTGATTAGTATGTTATAAGCAGTATTGCTAACTTGCAGGCAAGCATTACGGAAACATGCACAGTTTTCAAAGTCTCAAGTGTACACACGCAAAGAATACATTGCAACCCTGATGGGTTGGAAGTATTTGAACCTACCTTTTCCAGATTCACCTAAGTGCATGTGTACAATCCGAAAACATACCAGTGATTTATCAATAATTTCAAACACTCGCATTCTATATTTTTCTTGTTGACATTTTGCTTCAAACTGCGGAATAACGGTACATAATTTCTAGAAAATATAGTGTCCGAAATACTGAGATGTCCCAGACAGAGATATAAAGGAGTATGAAAAGTTCTTAGCCAAAGCAGGTTCCTAAAGCCTGAGTACTGCTTTCCATCATTGCTGAAAATTATGTAATTTTATTAATTTACAAACCACACAGTCGTAAAGCGAAGTTTTGATATAATTTTCGCGGACGAGTGAATCATGACACAGCGAAGTATGAAATCCTTAGGCGAAGAAATCCAGGGACCGTTAACTTCTTATGAACGAAGAAAACTCAAACTCATGGATGTGTGACAGAGGCGGGGAGTGACTAATCCCTTCAGATTTAGCTGAAAACTAGCTAAAGCAGGGATATTTACAGATCAAAGATGTGTAGTTTTGTAGGCCCAGTTATGTATAGTCCAAACTATAATTCAGTTTTGCAATTTGCTGCATCTATGAAAAAGGGAATTGGAAGAAAAACGAAGGGAAGCTACAGGAGTAGAAGCCATTCTTGAGACAGTGCATCTACTGCCAACACGTGTACGACCATGGTTCTTTTGACGAGTTTGGTATGAGTCACTAGACTCCCCCTTATATGTACCCAACCTCATGGGAGGTGAAAATGTCTTGTTTCAAAACTTCAAAAAGGCTTAAAGTCGTTAAAATTCTCAAAAGATCCGAAGTTGGAGATGACCTAAAATTTCAGTGAGTTGAAGTATGAGGGTTTTTATAAAGATTGTACAGCTTGCGAGCCTAATGAGAACTGCGGACCAGACATTAACTAGCTTGTAGGATGTGTGGCTGAGCCGAAATCTGGATAGTCCCTCTTGATAGGAATAATCCGAATCCACATGTACCCATCCAAATCCAGACGAAGCTTTCAACGATTTTTACAGTCCAGACAACATTGCGTGAGATTTTATAAACTATCATAGAGATTAAAACGACCAACGATCAACCAGTTGATTGAGAATGTTCTTAGCAACGGCAAAATGTTGTTCATGACAACAAACCGATGAAAGGAGGACGGTGAACACATTGTCAGAAAATAAAATGATCATGAACTAGAATGTGTGATACAAAAATAAACTGGAATCGCGAAACTCAATCGTTTGCAAATTACGCTGATATCAACCAGGAACTCAGCTGAATCTCTTGTTTAACTGAAGGTGTCGCATAAAGTGTACCGCGACATTCGAGATATCACAGTAGCTTTTCTTGATATAACACACTATTCATTGGATTTCTGAAAATTTCTTGATAGCCCACTACCGATTTTACTTTACTTGTGGCTTAGAAAGAATGCGTGGTTTTCAAGTTGTAAGCAACCCTGTTCCACCTGAACACCAAATTGTACACGAATGGAGAAGTACACTCTAACGCAAATCGATGTGTTAGGATATTGTGTTAACATGAGCTTAATGGATACTCGAGGACTATGCCTAACTGATGAACTCCAAGAAGGCCAAAACCGATAACAAGCAACGGTATAAGTAGGAAGAACGAAATACCAAACTCCTTTTGGACGCTTTGCCTCGGATACGCCTCTGGATTTGCTTCACTAGGGGTCCAGGGAGCGGTTTTGCTAACGTTAGTAGACCGGTCAGACCTGTGTGTCATTACTAAACTGAAGGTCTCATTTCACACATGATCGTCTGCTTAACAAAGTTGGTTAGTGTGATTAAACAACAAACTTACGTGGACCGACAGTAACAACATAGGGGGAATTAGGTAGCTTTTGACCGCCGAAATTGATAAAAATTTGGTGGCGTCCAACGTCTCTTGGCGTGTACTCAACAAGGAAGACACCTTCACCTTCGGGCTGCGTTATCCGTGGTTCAACCGAATCACGACGTCCGTGCGGGTCCACCACGAAACACTCAACAGTACCCATGCCAGCGCCTGAAACAACCAAGGAAGGTGAAATACTGTTCGTTCCGGGTGAGTACACGACGTAAGCTCATATGTTTTGTGCATTGCTTGTGCAGAGGGAAAACGTGACCACCGATAAATCGGAATATGATATAAGCGGACAACAGAACCGTGTGGGCGATAGCATCATCGCAAGGCAAAATTAAACACATACGTTTAGTATCGACAGTGAAGTAACTGCGGCGTCCAACGCTGTTGCCGCCAGTTGGTTGTATTCCTGGACCGCTGATGATGACCTTCAGCGGATCGCCAATCGGTGGTTCCACAGAAACGGAGAACGGTGAACCACGAATTTCCTGCCCGGCATACCTGATAATCACTCGGTGCTCTCCTTCCATCGTTGGCTGGTAGGTGCAACTGTAAGATGCGTTCTTATCAGGGACGACTTCACACTGTCAGAGGCGAAAACACATGAGTATAGATTTCCCGTCTCATGAACAGTTGGTTTTTTCACGTAAAAGATTTCATAATCTGATTGTCTTCTGCCTTTGTCAATGTGCACAGCCCTTCACCTTTCCTACTCAATTAATCTGAAAAAAGCAATGCTCTTAGATTGGAAGAAAAAGCATAAAACGACGAGGCAATTGTTTGCGATGGTCCTGTTGGTATCAAGGGCGATGACGAGATAAAAGGTGAGATCACTGCATACTTGACTGATTCCTTGCTCGACTACTCGTTTGGCAAAATCGAGTCATTCCGACAATCCTGATGTGTTGTATGAGACTCTAGAACCAACCCTGGTGAGTCCTGATTCCTACTCGACTCTGGTTGATTCAACCTGGTTCTTGTGTGTAACTTAGTCATCTGAACGTTTGCATTTAGAAAGGATTAACAACAACTAAGTATATGGTGACAAGATGAATATGGAACGGAGTGCAATGTCGACATTTTGATTCCATACACATTTCGAAAAAAACCTCTGTCAGAGTTCAAAGGTTTGCAAGGCCTGGACCTGAGAAGCATCCACTAGTTTATTCCATGTATGCAGTGGAACCGCGTAAGTTTGTCTTTGAGTGAGAGTACTCTACAACAAAACAACATTACCAAAGACAACACAAATTAGTTTGGACACAGAAACAGAGAAGCGAATCACGCATTAAAAGCTGTTACGCTGAACTCCTCGTGATAACTGAAGATCCAGTAAAATGCATGAAGTGACCCTGAGCGACACATTATTCAACCCAGATGGGGTCACGTAATCCTTAACACTGCAGAAGCATCGTAACTTCAAACGCAGAAAGTGTTGCTAGAGTCATCGGTCAACTGGCATCGGCCAATTCCAAACAAGTATCCTCGTACAGCCACAACAATAACACGTTACCATCAGGCACTGTAATCATCCTCTTGTGGTTGGCGGTAGCGGTGTACACCGAAAACCCATTTGGTTATTTACGCTATTAACGTGTAGTAGCCTGCTTCAACATACACATTGTAAACAGTTACTCACAACTTCCGTGGCATAAACCTTCAAATTTGACCTCATTTACATGAATGTTGCGAAAAAAGCATAATTCACGAAGAGGAAAGATGATGATGTTAGCTAACTGGAAATCTTTGGGAAGTTGACCGAAGTTGATCTATCAAATGAGTGTTCATGTTATCCTATACTGACAGCAGTTTGATACTGACAGACTGTGGATTCGCAATCAAGACCTTATATCCCGCTATATCTCACGGCCGCTGAGACGGTAAAGAATCAACTCATGGCACATACGTCATTGTTATCAGTAGGAATTTTATCCTAGCAGTATACAAAATAGGTCTCCATATAACATACTCAAGCATGAGCAAAATGGCGTCTCGATGCATTAAAATATTGCAACCACTCAATATAACTGAAGCGTCTGCAGAAAGCTTGCGTCCTCAGGGATCAACAGCTAGGATGCACGATGGAAGCTCAGCAATCTGCTTTGCTACGGACTATACTGTACTGTACCGACTCACTGCGCCAGGATGGTGGTAACACACTTTGCAACCCTGTCGAATGTGGGGTTGCAGCTCAACTGACCAAGCAAATCAGAATGACTCATCCGGACAATAAGATGGACGTAGGTCCTGTCACTTAAGAGTGCTTAGCTTAAAGATTTTGTGCCTGCGCACGCAGGTGGGTGAGTGTACAACGATGTGTCGTGACAACCAAAGCCAAACTAGCGTTGCGAGCCGTTTGATCCTAGAGATCGCGTAGCATCGCAACCCAGAACCCGCCTTGGACTACTCGGCGTGGCTTCCTGAGATTTGGCGCTTACGAAGATCGTCTAAGTAAAGTTCACGGGCCGTACAATTCCAGCCAATGGAATGTGCAGCTGGGTTTCACCGCGAATGCTCCTCAGAGGACATAAATTTCGCAAACAGGTTCTCAGGCCAAACGGTCAGGTACATGCATACGACATTTGGTCAGCAATAATTAAATAGACTAGGAAGAAAAGTTACGATTTCCTATGCGTTTGCGCGGTTTGGGGGTACTTCCGTAGTCTTGACGTAAATCCCAAGATATGGGATCCCCAAAGTGGCGACACTTTTGTCGCCATCAAAAATAGTGAACTACACGAACAAGTCAACTAACAAACAGCTTTTTTGATGATCTCTAATTCATAATGGAAGAGATAGATGGAAAACTGGCATTCTTATCACGAGATTAGTATACAGACAACTGCAGACAGAAATCTACAGAAAAGCAACACATGCAGACCAGATGCTCAGCTACCGCAGCAGTCATCCGAACTGTCACAAGCAAAGCAACATTTGGATCCTTTGCAGCCATATTGAGACGCACAGCAACATTACGGAGTCGATAGTTAGAGAGAAATAGATACCCCAGAAGATTCATCTGGCGTACTTCCAGAAAGTCCGATTCGGGCAATTCAACAGCACAATGAAAAGACGAACGGACCACACATCAATGCATCAGGAATATCTCGGAATTGACTGCACGCCTGCTGTGACAATAGAACAACATTGTTCCACAAACCTACGAGCACCCTACGGAGAACACTGTCAAACCCAAAGGGATGATCGAACACAATTTCGAGGACCGACATCGTATACAAGATTCACTGCGGAGACAAACATTATGTGGGACAAACAGGAACGGAGATCCCTACCAGAATACATGAACAAAAAGTTGCAAGCAAAAGACAAGACGAATTTTCACCCGATTTCGTGCATGAAGATGAAGATGGACCCAAATTCGACTGAAGAAACATTCACATATTGGCTCATGCGAGCACAAAGAAAGAACATGAAGTCATGGAAGCACAGAACTCCACTGAAAAAGCCATCAACAACGAAATGGAACCGGTCTATCGACCACTGCGAGCAAAAGTGCTACCGAACTACACGACGCAAAAACGCACAATTAAGACCGAACCAGTATAGAAGAGACAGACAGACAAAAACGAAAAATCGAAGTGGATAATTAACTTATCCGGACTAGCATCGCACGGAAAAATTGAAGAAGTATAAAGAACGACTCTAACCTGGTGCAAACAAATCGGCCAACACAATAAAGAAAAAACCAAATCAAACGGGGAAGAACAAGTGGCTGATCAAACTCAAGAAGATGAGACTACTATGCAAACTAAGAAGGGACCAGTATGAATGAAGGAAAGAAAATATCAAAAATACAAATCACCAGCATTACCAGTCAAACATAAGAAGAAAGAACACAATGCAACACAAACCAGTAACGAACCAATCGCAAACGGACCTAAAACACCCCAATGCAGTCATTCAACTAACCAATGGACTACGAGATATACAGACCACAATGCATTGTAAATCGCGATCGGGCTAATAATATTACAGATTACCGGGCCAATAATATTACGGTTAGCGGGTTTCAACAAAATGACTGGAGAAAAAACAGGTTAGCCGCGACTTACTGGAATTCTCACACCTTTAGGGTTGAGTAGAATTATTTCAAGTTGTCCACTCCCAGCCTCAGCAGTGTCCACATTGAAACGACAAGGCTGGTTTATCCTGTTTCCTTTGTGCTCCAGTCCTGAAGGGATATGGACAAATAACAAAAGTAGATGTATCAAAGAAGAAAACACGAAAAGATGACACTCAGTGATATGAATTTCCATTTAACCTAGATTGTCATTCAAAATAAGATTCGAAGGACACGAAGTGTACCATATAGATGCATTTATCTCACTTCAACCACGCCCTAGCTAACTGACTTCATTTATCGAAATGGCCAGTTAAGTAATCGAAATTCCAAGAGCTCTATGGACTAAGTCCACACTTCACTGGTCATTGGTTTCCTTGCTGAGCTGGGCAGTTTAGTTACGAATATCTGGTCACCAATCGGCCTGACGTCAGCAATGCGTGGTTTTGAAGAGATTGCGTGATATCACTCTGATTGGTGACACAACGTTTGTAACTATACCGCCTAGTTCAGCGAAAAAAACTAATGATCATCCACACCGTTTGAGCTACCAATATTTCCCACTAACAGCAAACCACTTCCGTTTACTTGCTTTTCTGAATGTGTTCATCGGTAAAACATAATGAGCGCATACCATCATGGGCCATAGGACTACAGTCCGATAAAAGGGAGTAATGTGAGTGAACTTCTCAGTGCGCCCATGTATTACAATCCGTTTAAAGTGAAGCTCTAGTCTTAAAACAAGCTATATCGGAAGAGCACTTCACTCCAACCTGGCAGCCGCACAGAAAGGAACAGACGTCTTTGTAACCAGTGATCTAAATTTCTAAGAATTCGCGACGATTATGCTGTGAGAGGGTATAATGGTACCGAAATACTGACTCTAAAAGGCATGCAATACATGCAACTGCGGAAAACGCACCTCCTGCGTTACATTCATTCAGCCCACCCTGTAGCCTGTAGCTTTCGCTCATGAAGCCTGTTCGATTTCCAGAAATAAGAAGACAGTGTTTTAATTCCTCTGTGTTGCAAACCTGCTGTTAACCTGATAGATTTCGTCCAACCACAGTTCGTGTAGTCATTGACTTGCCGTCCACCAGGATGTAGAAGTATTTGTAGTGTGAGGAGACTTGTTTTTTATGTGGAGACTTAGTCCTGTAAGTGAAGCGAATCTATACTGGAGAGCCGAGAAGCATAGTATAGCTGTTTCATTCTTATTTGGAATTATCAGCAGTGCATATCTCACCAAACTCCGGAGATTCTCGAACGCCCGACCTCCTGGCTAGTAGTTTGAACACTTAACCGTTCGGTTATGAGTGGTCGAACAATGAACACTTGTGGGTTCTAGTTTAGTTGGGTTCAGTACCAACCATTGTGAAAACTTAACTTTCACCCAAACATTTCGTGAAACTCCGGGAAACCCAGAGCTATATTCTGTCTAAGTGCGGGTTAACCACAATGCTGATCAGCCACTCGTAGCTGAACGATTAGGAGTTCAAACTATTAGTTAGGAGGTCTCGGGTTCGAGACTCTCTTGAGTTTGGTTAGATTTGCACCGCTGATGATTCCCATAAGGATGAAACTTTCACCCAAACATTTCGTGAAACTCCGGGAAACCCAGAGCTATATTCTGTCTAAGTGCGGGTTAACCACAATGCTGATCAGCCACTCGTAGCTGAACGATTAGGAGTTCAAACTATTAGTTAGGAGGTCTCGGGTTCGAGACTCTCTTGAGTTTGGTTAGATTTGCACCGCTGATGATTCCCAATAAGGATGAAACAGCTGTACAGTGCTTCTCGGCTTTTCAGCATAGATTGGCTTTGCTTAAAGGACGAAACCTCTACAAAAATGTAGAAGTATATTATAATTAAGTGTGACTGGTACCCCTTAGTGATTATCAAGCTGCGCAGGGGATCACAGGGTCTATTATGGTCAGTTAATTAATTCCTGTCACTGTGTAGAACACAGGAGAATATACGGTGTGTTCTGCCGCTCAATGAACACGTGGACGTGTAGGTTTTAGCGTAGCCATATTTAATCAGCAATGAGTGACCGATTTCATGTTACTTGAAACAGAAACAAACTTTTCGAATCTATCAAAAAGAGGTGGTCACGGGACACGTACTGAGGATGTGAGTTAGCATGGAGGGTTTTGGTAACTAAAAAGTAGTGACACCAATAAAAGGTGCCTGAAGGGGTTAAATCACTGTCGAAAAACGATGAAACCATGGAAAATCACAGTGTATTAGTCGACGAGAAGGTTTGGTTGAACGGAAAAGGATGTATTTACCAGCACCATATGCGCGAACACGCCCGGGATCAAGTTTTGGCCGGAGCGGTGCACCTTCTTTTAGGTGTGCGCTCGGAAACTGGCTTATGTAAGTCATCATAGCCTTCTCATCCACGCGGGGATTGATCATTTCTTCTGGCCGAATAAGCTGGGGGACATTCAGCCATTCCTCAGCCATGGTCATTGCTTCTGTTGCGTTCTTCAAACAGTGCCGAGGATCCCATTTACACCAATCTGGACACAACCCAGGTGCACACGAATCCACCAGTGCACCAATGGCCACTCCGCTATTCCAGTCTGTGGTGAAATTTTTTATAGGCGGCTCGGGCATTTTCTGTTTGATCCATCCCAGTAGACGTTGTTTCGGTCCTTTATCATCCTACGGAGAAGTACAAATAAGGTTACTAATTTGTCTACAGACAAACAGCACAAGTTATTTCAAACCATCGAACACATATCACCCGTGCAAAATCACATTTGGATGATTTCAGTGCAAGTGACGGGTTTAATATACAGTGATAGGAAGTTCATCAGTGCACACAATTAGCTCCGGAATGTTTTACCTCTTGAGCTACCACAGGTTGCTCACAAGAATCCTGGCGAGATTCCTGATGAGGAGAATTAAGATGAAGCAATGGGTAACAAGCACTGCCGTCGGTATAGGCAACAAGTCAGCTCGGGCAACAAAACATACCAGCTAGCTGAGATCTATTTCTGAGAACTTCATCAAACCTAGACGGAACGCGTCAAACTCTGAGCGACCATTTTAATACAGTATAACACTTCATGGTGAGTTTTTTTTTCAAGCCATACCGGACATTCTACAGACAGATGGAATGACAACATTCCATTCCCACACTTTGGACCGATATCCAGGCTCCCGAACTATACTTGACTCCTGAAAAATATAACTTGATTCACCAAACTAGGCGAACAGGTCAACAAGCACAGGAGGCATCCCAGCTACCAACAGTCGAAGCAAGGTCTAACAAGTACGTTATCCGGATGATACACTCTGAATATATAAGTCGGTCGCCAAATTATCCGTGTACAGATGTTGTTACGAATTTGTAGTCGACTAAACACCAGCCATTTTAAACAGTATTTAGGTGTTTCGCATTCGGTCCACTTTCGCCAGGTATACTTGGTCAATGATGGAGTTGCTTCTTTTCAATCAACAATTAGTACCTTTTATCGGTGTGTAGAGGACATTGACAGAATTGGTCTGGAGTGACTTATGGGCTCCCAGTGGAGAGTAAAACAGAAAAAACTAATGTTACCTGAGTTACCCTCACAAAAACTCATGACATTTGAGGATCACATTTCAGCAGACGAAGTTTGGAAAACACTGACCACCATACACCCAACAGCAAACCAATGAGCACAATAAAAGACCTCTCAACAAAGGGTGTCATTCTAGGGTCTGGTACATACAGTTACACATGAATGTTGGTGAACGGAAATTCCAAAATCAGTTACCAGCCAAAATATTGGTGATTATTTGATAAAAGAAACTGTGAGACGCTGCTTCCTGATATTGCGCATCGGGTACGAATTCCGTTCACTTAGGAATTCTGATTCTAAGACGCTTAATGGCGTCGATACCGAAGAACAATATGATAAAACGAACGATCTCCCTTCAGGATACTTTAATATGGGCAGGAAAAACATGGTAAAATGACAAGAATAAATCTGTAGGGTGGATATTTCATAGCTTTCGCACAGATTAAGTGACTGTCTCATTAGTTACCTGGGTGATTAAACTATTGTGAAGAAAGATCATTTTGAAAAGGATACTCGATGTAGCTTTTCAAGTCTATAGTTTCATCTCTTGACTTGGTTAGCAAAGAGGGTGTTACCCACCATAGTGTAGTCAAATTATTTTTGGAGCGTGTCAGAGCAGACTGAATGCAAAAACACAGAATCACCAAGGGCTTGATATCACCTCTAAGAAACTTGGTGGCAGGAAAAACGCAATTCCCTAGTGTTTATGAGGTTTTTTGAAAGCAGTGTGCCGTAAAGAGGGAGGTAAAAATCAGCGCAATATTTTAGGAGAACAAACAATTTTTGATAGACCTTTTGGTCACTTAACGCAACGTCCATCAGGGGAATCCAGATTCGTTTATTTTCTTGTATTAGTGTAAGTCTGCTTGTAGCTTGCGGCCTCAAACACCTGGAACTAAATATAAAAATCCGTCACAGTCGAATGGACAAAAATCTCGATCACAAGAACAATATATGGAACTGCAAAACTAATTTAATCAAGAACCAACCCTATTGAGTATTTAGTGCACCTAAGTCGTGCTTTCCAACTACAAAAAACTTTCAGAACCCACTTAACGACACTTCGCCTCTTTCCCAAAATGAGAAACTTAAAACCGAACGTTCGGAACTCTTATCAACGCTTTGACGAGAATTTTTCAGTAAGCAGTTCCCACACGAAACAACTTCATTGATGAGTAACGGAAGGTCTGCATAAGATACAGGAATAAACACGGTCATCCTATTCCACTTTCCCTATTAGTGATCATGACGGGTGAATCACTGGCGTCAATCTTCACACAGTTGTTCCAAAGTGGGGGAGCCTAAAGAACCCGGAAGTATTTACTGCCCCAACCTCAAATGAATGGGAGAAAAGCAAACCCAACCAGCCATCGGTATGTGAAATCATCACTGATATTGAAGAGGATTATGAATACTGGTTTATCTGTTGTTTCGGCATAGGAAGCTCAAGCAGATTCGAAGCAGATTCAACAAGAATTTATCGAGAGTATTAGCTCGAAAACAGAAACAAGATGTGTGGTGTTTACAGATTTCCGCGGTGTTCTACTGGTTTGAAATAAAAACGACTAATTTACAGTCCCGAGGATCATAGTTATACGAACTTCACGATCATCCACAATCGGTCATTATCATAGTAATATACTCTATGTAAGGTAAAACTCAACTGGACCAGTCAGTCTGTCACCTACTCGGGCCTCCGAAAGCATTGGATTTTTCTGGAGAATCGTGAGAACGATTTAATGCGATGCGATCATCCAGAACACCTGCCAATGATTGCTTATGGTTGAGGTGGTACTTTATCGCTTCTAGATAACCCTGTGACCTCCAAACAACGTAGGTTTGAGAATTTTCGAATAAGAATTTCAGACAAAAGGATTTTGTCTGAGAATTTTCAAGAAACAGCCAATAAAAAATGTCGTGTCATAACTTGTCTTGCGAAAACATAGTAAATAGACAAAGCATTGAAGTCTAGGTCCAGACCATCAAGAGAAACTATAATATTAACAGCAATACCCTCTACGATGCCGGGCAACACCAAATTACACCGGTTCGTAGGGTAATCTGCTGAATTCGAAAACCACTTACAATAGAAAATTCCCCGGACAGATGTGCCCAAAACGTCACCACCGCCTCTACCTACCAAAAAACCCTTACAAAACAGACATTTCCATCTGGTAACGAAGATTCAAAGGACTGACAACACAGTTACCTATTTAGCATGACAGGCATCTATAATTTGAGAGGCTGTATGCATTTCTGCGACTCCGTTTAGTAATGTTTTGTCATGGATAAATATGTTAAAGTTAACGAGACAGCGGCCCAAAGCAGCTCCGATCCAACAAGATAGAACATTGCCGCTTGAAGTCAGTCGGTGCACTTGGTGGTGACCATCGGTCATTGTGTCATACTCTGAGTATGTTCATGCTGCTACTGCTCACAAATGGCGATCAAAGGCTAGATAGTAAAAGAAGAGATCTAATTATGACCCTAGAAGTGAATACCGTAGGCCAGGTGAAAACCACCTTACTTTCAAGCAAACTGCTCCCAAGAAGCCCTTTCCGACAGCCATGCCATCCTGGGTACGTCAAGGGAGCTCATGCAAGTTTGAGTCTCAAGTCTTCCAACAATGTAACAGAAATGCAGCACCCATCGTTGTCCGAGATGTGGAATCCTAGCGCCGAATCGCATATTTTGTCGTGCAGCCGGATACAACTCAGATGAAAAGAGAAAATATGTTGAACGCAACGCGGCCAGGCTTCGCGACTACTGGTAAAGACAAACCAGACTTCCACTTTGAATGCAGTGTCGTTTTTTTGTGCAACCTGATATTAATTCACCTTTAAGGTTTTCCTCTGTTTTAAATTCACAGCCTGCTGCAACCACACGAAAGTCAATCTCTTTTTGCTCACTTGATGGGCAGAATTTCAGAATCTAGGTGTAAGAATGCTGCAATACAATGATTCTTCCAAGTGGTGTAAAGTCCCTGGAGCATCTGAAACCTGTGTTACTGAGACTGATTGCCAGTCCGTCGAACCGTATATGATAGGTGACCACATAAAGAAAGGCCTGCCAGTATTCCATACAATGTACGAGCATAGTGAAGTTCCAGAATGTAAACGTTGGATCCCAACTGAACGCCATAGCATTTTCTCAGTTGCCGTTGCATTCATAGACAATAAGAAAGCAACTTAGGTGGTATGCTGTATCACTATTTCATACTCGAGAGCGGATCACACCTGTAGGTCTCTTCACCTTAAACTTGAACCCTGACTTCTGACAACAGTAAGCAAGCTTTGGTGACCGCAAAGAATACTACTGATAAGCCAGTAGTGGACAGCACAGCTTGAAGCGACTCACGGTAGATGCGGCTAAATGCAGTGCAAATGTCAGTGAGACATATAATCATTTTCTGATTAAGCCAGAAGTATGAGAATATCCGATCTTCACAGCTCGTCATGTCACATAAGCCGCCTTGATAGGGTCATGTACGAGTAACTTGTGCTTTCAAAAATTGTTCGAGGAATATGATAGGGAATAACCAGCGACATTTATGTGACCGATTACCCCATTACTTTTTACAGATGTGTCTGGGAGGCTTTGAGCAGACGTCCCAACCAGATGAGATAGACTCCACTTGTGGAGGCTGAAAAATTGTGGAACGTTATCCTATCCCAGAGTTTTCTACATCCGGGATGGCTAAAATCCAAAATAAGCTCGACCAGACAAAATGGCTTACGGCGCGATTGGGTCGAGAGAGGGGCGGTTCAATGGAAAAATTCCTTCTGCTCAGTGATCTGAAACCACTTTTTCACTTTTACTCCACAGTGGTTTGGTGCACTGAGTTTACCGAAGGCAGAAAAACCCATGAAGCAACCATTTTCAAGACGTTCCTAATAGTTGCAGCCTTAATTCACCCAACGTCGCAGTATGGTGATGGATGGTGCTGTGGGAAACGAGTGGAATCGCCCTATGAATTCCACCGAATCGCCTTCAAATGGCCTGCAACAATCTAGCCTCTACGAAGGATGCCCAATTCGTTGTCTTCTAGCGACGGAGGTATTTCCACTTAAGTGAAATAGCGAAGCTAGTGCATCT